AAGATGGCTCTGTAGGAGGGTCCCTTAGTCCATTTTGCCATAATAAAACACCTGAGGCTGAGTACTTTAAAAGATAGAAGACTTTTGCTGGGCTAACAATTCTGGAGGTCCAAGAGTATGGCATTAAGCTCTGATGATGGCCTCCGGGTGAACGGCATCACATATCAGAGTATGTGCATGGGAGAGAGGGGTCACATAATCAGCGATGAAGCAAGAGAGGGGGCCAGGAGGGCCAAACTTGCCTTACACAACCTGTTCTGTTGGTAACTTATCCACTCCCACGCCAGGTGTTAATCCCTTCCTGGGTTAGTCCCCCCCGCCACCTGTCTATCACCCCCTAGGCCCCGGCTCTTAAAGGTTCAGCCACCCCTCAATACCATCACACTGGGGACCAGCTTCCAGCCCATAAGCCAGTGGGGGACAAATGATATCCAAACCACAGTGGGAGTGTTGTGGGATGGGAGATATTAGTCAAAAGAAGTGAGGTTTCAGTTAGGAGGAGTCAGTCTCTGAGACCTAGCGCCCAGCACAGTGACAATATTAATGATAACATAGTGTTCATTTTAAAATAAACACTATGAGAGGAGCTTTACCTGTCTGGTTGCCAAGGTGGGAGACCAACGTGGCAGGTTATACTCTGACTCCTTGTGCCCACCTGGGATCTGACACCAGCCACTTGTGCTCATTTCCTGCTACCTCCTTCCCCAGTGGGGAGCACCGACACCCTCAACCTGTTTATGAGCAGCGCCATTTGGGGCAGGGTGTGTGTTTCAGGGCTATGAGTTCAGGCAGCCAGAATTAGCCACTCTGGGCTCTGTGCTCCCAGAACACTGCCTACCTGGCTCTGATGAAAGAAACTAATACAGGCAGGCATAGCTTAAGGAGCAACGTAGGCTTGGAGCAATGCGTCAGGGTGATTTTGTTGCTGTGTGTACATCACAGAGTGTACTAACAAACCTAGATGGCGCGGCCTCCTATGCCCCGCGGCTGTTGGTGTATACATAGATACACACATAGAGATGTGGTATAGTGGATGCTCCTGGGGCCACAATGAGCAAACAACATGAAAAAAAATCAAGCATGAGAAAACAATACGGTCAATAGACACAGTGAGCCGGGCACAGTGGCGCACACCTATAATCCCAGCAGCTCTGGAGGCTGAGGCCCGAGGATCAGGAGTTCAAAGCCAGCCTCAATTAAAGTGAGGCCTTAAGCAACTCAGCAAGACCCTGTCTCTAAGTAAAATACAAAATAGGGCTGGGATGTGGCTCAGTGGTCAAATCTCAGCAAACCCTACCTGTTTGTCACAGGGTACTGGGGTCCCTGCTATTAAATGTCCTCATGCTGAGAGAAGCTTTACCTGTCTGGTTGCCAAGGCAGGAGACGAATGTGGCAGGTTCTACTCTGACTCCTTTGCCCACCTGGGATCTGACACTGGCCACTTGTGCCCATGTGTCCTTGTCTGAGAATGCACTCTATGAAGATGATCAAAGGTATGGAACAGGGAAATAGCCACTTGTTATCACAGTCTAGTGTCATGTGCTGTAGGTGTGTTTACACCAGCGTTGCCCCAGGAGGGAATGACGTGTTGGGCTGTGATTTTACAATGTCACTAGGCAATAGGGATTTTCAGCCTCATTCCAACCTTGTGGGACCACTGTCTATTCCATCTATTGTTGACCACAGTGTTGTCCTGTGTCATGTGACTGTAGTGACGCACCACAGAAGTACCCAGAAAATGGTAGCTGTGTAACCCCAGCTTCCCAAGAGGTCCAAAGGTGAACACTATAGGAAAAGATAACCTGTGGCCTTTTGAGCCCTACATTCAAAAATCAAAGGGTGAGGGCTGGGGCTGGGTCTCAGCAGTGGAGCGCTTGCCTAGCACACGCAAGGCACTGGATTCCATCCTCCGTGCCACATATAGATAAATGAATGAATGATGAATGAGGAGATAGATAGATAAATAGGTAGATAGATAGATGAATGGATAAATGAAAGAGTGAGGTTTATAAACGTGTGTATTTAGCACCCAGAGACACCCCCCTTCATCCTGCCTTCTTTTCTCTCTCCCTTTTTCTCTCTTTTCTTAAATTCAGTGATAAGCTGAACAACCCAATTTAAAAACAGGGCGTATGAGCCAACATCTCACAAAAAGAGATGCGGGACTGGCCAGTAAGCATGTCCCCAGATGCCCATCATCACTAGTCATCAGAAAAAAGGGAAATCCAAATTTACCAAAGGGTAAATTCAAACCACAATAAGCTACCCTTGGTGTGGAGCTCAATGGTAGAGCTTGTGTCTAGGGAGTGCGAGCCCCTGGCTTTCAGCCCCCTGCACTGCAAAAACAAAGCGAACAGCAACAATGACACTTTGGTGGCTAAGGTAAAATTAAAAAAAAAAAAATGACTGCCAATCCCAAGTGTTGGCAATGATTGTAGCACCTGGGACCCAGGGTGCAGCCAACATTGTGAAAAGGTGAGGCAGTGTGTTGTAAGTCAGTCATTAACCATATGACTCTGCAAGTTCATGCCTCTGTACCCAAATAGTCAGAACAGCATTATTCTTAACACCCCCAAACTGCAAACAGCCCAAACGTTACAGCATATTCATACCCAGATGGAATCCTAGTGGGCAGAAAAGGGAATGAAATATCAATACGTGCAGCAACATGAATCAACCTCAAAAACTTTATGCTAAATGAAGGTCACACACTGTACACCGTCTGGGGTTGGGGGAAGTAAACGATAATCAAGTGCTTTTTAGGATGGAGAATTGTATAGCTTGGTTTTGCTGGCAGTTACACAATTTCCCCAGTTCATCAAACTGTGCGCTTAAAGTGGATGAATTTTATGGATCACAAATAATAATGCCTTTTCAAAAAAAAAAAAATTCCAGAGGCCAGCTGTTGCAGGTCTTTCAACCTGTGGCCCCTGGGGCCTGGGTGTGAGAGAACTCCTAATTGGGAACAAGGTCATCCCAGGCACCTGGGTTTCTCTTGCCTCGAGCGGGGGATCCAGCTGACACTCACCAATTTCCAGGGGGTGACAGTACGTCCCAGGCAGAGGCTGAGGGGAAACGAGCTTGTGTTTCTGTCACTAATGATATGAGCCTTCATCGGATTCCCTGCCAGGCCACGTTCGCCGTCACTGCACCCATTGAAGAAGAGAACAGAGCAGTAACGAGCTGGGTGTCGTCGGCTCCCAAATAATTTATAATGGGCAAACTAGGACAGGAACGGAGCTTTTTTTGGCTAAGAAAGTTGCATGTCATTCTTCAAAATCTAGGCCAAAAAATTATTTATAATGCATAGACAGTCACTCAGAAAGTGAAAGGGTCCCTTTCTTCTCTCCCCTCTGTTTGAACACGCTGCCTTTTACCCTGAACCATCACTGAGGTACGTGGGCATCTTCCTGCCACCCGTCTGTGATAGGAGAGGACCCACAGAAAGACAGAGGGTGAGACCTTTGTAGCCGTCCCTGAGTCCTCAAGCCAACAATGACAGGAAGGAGGGGAAGACGTCACACAGAAAGGCCCTTGGGAAGACCAGTGGCCACGTGCTCTCCAGGTGGTGGGCTTTGAAGACGGGTCAGCAGGTGTACCATGCAACAGCTTCTCCATCCGTTTTCTGTCTGGGGTACACCTGGGAGGGGTGGGGGACAGCTCTCCCAGCCCAGATGGCTCCAGGACACTCAGACTGTTAAGGGAGGGGCTTTGGTGAGTTGCTGAGGATCAAGACCCTCAAGCAGCAGTGTCACCGGCTCCCGCAGGGGAAGGCCTTCCCCATGGGGTACTCATTGGTCCAATGTTTTTTTTTTTTTGAGGGGGGGAACAGCCCCAGAGCCCTGATCCCTGTTCTGATTTCTGTGGCGGTTAGGATTCCTCAGAGATGGCTTGGTGGTTCAGCAAAGTCCCCTCCTCCCCCCAAAACGAGCCCACTTCTCTGTCACCTCTTCTCTAGGTGTCCCAGAGTGCACTGTCCTGTTATTTAAGTAGATCTCATCTCTTGGAGTAGTTTGAGGTTCCACAGCAAAAGTGAATGGAAGACATGGAGAGCTCCCCGAGCCCCCGCCCCACTGTTGACCCCCCGCCGGAATGATGAACGCGGTTGAGCCTCCTAACCCCAAAGTCGATAGTTCATGGAGGGTCGGCTCTTGGTTGGTAGGTTGAGGACAGGTGTTATATGGCATGTGCCCACCGCTGCAATCTCGTACAGGGGAGTTTCGCTGCCCTAAAAATCCTCTGTGCTCATCCCTCCCTAGGACCCGCGGCAACGGCTGAGCATTTCCCTGTCGTCATAGTTCTGCCTTTTGCAGAATGTCACAGAGCTGGAATCCCACACTCGGGGGCTTTTTGAGACTAGCTCCTTCGACTTGGTGATGTGCACCTGAGTCTCCTCCGCGTCCTTTTAAACAGGGGTCTGCTCGCAGCAGATTGCCAGCCACACTCAGTGCCAGTCATAGGTGGGCGCTGGATCACGGCTCACGCACCATCGGGCAAACCCTGTCTCTCCAACAGGGTGCCGAGAGAAGCTTCCCAGGCAGGAGCCGGGATGTGTGCCCTGGGTGGTCCACTCGGGACACCTGGCCACCCCGCATGACTTGGCACCAGGATGGGTGCTCTGGGTTGGAGGGGACACAGCTCGAGCCTGAAGAAGGGCTCTCAGAGTGAGTTTCCCCAGCAGCCGCCGTCCAGGTGGACAGTGCACGGCTCGCCCTCCGAATCTCAGGGCTCTGTGAGGCCAGCCCGGCAGCCTCTGGCCCTGCGCTGGTGGGGTAGGTTGGGGACGTGAGTCAGAGCTTACTTATTATTAACACTGTCTCTCTTTGTAGCCAAGAGTCTAGCAAAACAGTTTTCTCTCCCCATTACTCAGCTCTGAAATGTGGCTCAGGAGACCTTCCCGAAGGAGTTTTGGATGAGACGATCTGATAGACAGTCCTCCCATTTCGTAAGCCTCTGTGAGGTGGAACGTTCTGGTAACCCGTGCCTTGTGGTGTTTCTAGAGCCTCTCGAAACAAGTCTGAGAAGAAACGTCGGGACCAGTTCAATGTTCTCATCAAAGAGCTCAGCTCCATGCTTCCTGGCAACACGCGGAAAATGGACAAGACCACCGTGCTGGAAAAGGTCATCGGGTTTCTGCAGAAACACAATGGTAAAGGTTGTGCTTCTCTCCGTTTCCCCCCCGCCCCGCCTTGTATATTCCAGGGGGGTGATGACCTCAGCAGGCAGGTCCTTCTGGGTAGGATGAGCTGTCTCTCCCAGGATAGGTCACCCCACCAGGCACAGGCTTCCCTGACCAGCAAGTTAGGAGAGGACTCACCTCCCAGACTGCGTCATCATTCAGAGGACAGATCCCAGTGCAGCCTGACGGGTGGCACCCAGCCCCAGGGGGTGGCTTCACAGTGGGTACATCTTCATCAGAAATCCCTGGAGCAGGCAAGTCTCAAAGGTCAAGAGAGAGAAGCTTCCCAGTGGCTGCCCCTCGCTGCCCACCTCTGCTTTCCCCAAATGCAACCTGTTTGAAGTTCCTCTGTCAGAGGTCAGTTTTGCCTCTTGGGATCTTATTCATGTGGAATCATGAGTTATGTACATAAAGCTTCTGCGATTTTTCTCATAGTCTTCCAGTGTCTTGCTAGTTTATTTTCACTGCAGAGAACATGAAGTTACTCCTCAAAGCCACGCTTGAGCCTGTGTTTCCTTCGTATCATCCTCTTTGTCCCTCAAACCCTTTCACCCCTTACGCCTGGTCACGCCTACCTGCCACTCACCTTGGATAGGACCCCCCAAAAAAGTCATAGAATAGATGAGATGGTTTGGTAGGTATTCGCAAGCCAGAGGAGCAGAATTCTTTTTGCTTTAACCATGACACCAAACATAATAAAGTCAAAAGTGTCAGAATTATTGAGGAAGTAATTACAGTCCTGTGCTTAAAGGAATGTTCCTCTCCCACTGAACCTTTTGTTAGACAAGATGATTTCACGGAAGAGGGCATCGTGGGGACATCGGAAAGTTTCATTGTCCTTGTTATTCTTTTATGATTTCCTTGAAAATTATTTATACCTATTAAAAATGTGACAGTGATGATCTATCCCCTTCATTGTGTTTTTTTGAAACTGCCCAGGGGCAAGCAAAGAACATGTTAATTGCTTTTTGTGAAAAGTCAGGGAAGATCAATCAAGCAGGATTAGAATGGAGTGTTCTAGCAGTCTTCAATTTGCCCCGATAATTTAATCAGAATGGTTATATTTCCTAAATAATGGTTTAGCCAAGTGAAATAGCAGGTTGTTTTGATGCCAAGATATTTTGTACAAATTACTCAAACTAGGTCAGTGCCACTGAGAAGCAGGACAGCTGTTAAATAGGACAGCTGGGATCAAGTTCATCAGTGTAACATTCATGCCGGGCTCTGTCCTCTGTGGAATTACGGAATGGCCCAATCTGGGCCCTGGAAGGACAGGTCTGCAGAAAGCAAGCTCCTAACCCAGGAAGTGCCTGTCTACTCTCACTTTTTTTTTTTCATAAGACGAAGGCCTTCTCCTACTTAAATGATCACTCCAGGATCTCACTTGTCTCTGTGATTCATTCATATTCAAAAGAAAGCAAAAAAGAAAAAAATCCACAGCAGATTTTGTGCAGAAATAGAGTTACTGGACCAAAATTTGGTTTAAAGCAAAAAAAAAAAAACAAATGCCAGTCGCCTTCTGTATCATCCACATAGACTTGGCCTCCACAGGCACAGGCAACAGGGTGGAGAAGAATGATCCTGGCATTTCTCCAGGGCTCCCTGGGAGCCACCCACTGTGCCAGGGGCGTTGCGGGAGGTCACCTCTCTAAACCTCACAAGAGCACTGAGCTTGTCCCATTGCACAAACAAAGCCACTGAGGCCCATGAGGGTAAGTCACTCATCCAAGTCAGACAGCCAGTGACATGCGGAATGCAAACCCAACAGCCCATCTGCAGAGCCCTGTTTTTAACACCAGTTTCTGCAGCTTCCCCGCCAGGGGTGATGTGTGGGGCTCTTGGACCGATTTCTATTATAGCTGCACTGTAGCTGTTCATGAATGTGTCCATGGAGTCCGCAGCTCAGTACATCAGACTCTCTGGCTGTGTGCTAAAGCCAACTTGTGCTTTAAGAGAGGATTGCTAAATTTTCAGGAGTTTTGCAAACCAGTGCGCATCAAGTTGGTCACTGACATCAGCGTCGGTAGGAATATTTACCCAGAAATGGGCAGACCTCCCAGATCCGGCATTTTTCTTGCGGGTGGGAAGCCTTCCACCAGCAGAGTGCTGCGGAAGACTCGGGGCATTAAGTATCTTCAGAGCTTCCAGTGTTATTCTAGTGTGCAGACGGCGCTGAGAAGGGTGGGTTCAGACACGCTTTCTGCCTTCTGGCTCAAGGGAGACCACAGGGCAAGTGAGGGGAGATGATGAGGTCCAGGGAGTTGCTGTTATTATCTCAAGCAGCCCCGTCTTCTCAACTCGGGAAATAGACCTTGATCCTGGAATGCACATTTATTCTTTTTGAAGTGATCCAAATCCAAAGACTCTGACCATGTTTCTTTGTATGGAGATTTTGTGTCAATGGCATCTCTCATAAGAAGAGAAAACCCTAGATCATGTGATTAACAGGGGTTGTTGTATATCCTTATCGCCCTCCATCTGGATGCCTGTTCTGCAGGGCCAGGCTGGCTCACGCCTCATCCTCTTCCTGTGTGAGTCCCAAGCTGATCAAATGTGATTTTGTCCCAACTCCTGTTCCTTGAATCTCCCGTGTCCCTACCTTCATGGATAGGGGCGGGCTAGGGTGGTTGAGGAAGGCTGTACAACAAGGAGAAATGTCCCTTGGACAGAGTGATATTGACCCACCCCTGCAGTTGGGTTACTGCCCCATTTTCCAGACTTTTCTTTGACCACACACAGAGCAAAGAATTACTATTCCTTGTTCTGACATCCAGGCAATCATTGGGAGGAGAACATTCTCTCACTGCAAGTTATACCAGAGTAGAATTTAGGGACCTAGCTGTTCATCACAAAGTTTTCCTCTAAAAATGCCCCCCTGAGGAGTTTTGCTCTCCTCTCTGTTTTGAAACACTTTGATCATACCCTTTGCTAATCCTGCCCTACCACCTGCAGCTTCTGATATTAAGCATATTAAGAGCCACTGGAGACAGGATTTGAACCCTGAGTTCTATTTCCCAGTATCACATTTTTTAGTTGCTTTGGGGCATCTTACCTAATTTATGTGTTTTTTTTTTTTAAATATGCTATGAATCAAGCTTTAACTCTCAAGGACTATAATCAAATAGTTGAGATACAAAGTGAATGAAATGGCTACTTTCAGTATTATTATGCTGGTGTCAAGAAAATATCCAGTCTTATGGGACGATCTGAAGATTTCCTATGTCAAAGCCAAGGGTCTTTTCTTTTCCTTCACCATTACATTATGATCCTCTGTCTATATAAAATCAGGGCTGCCAGAAAGACTCTTCTCCATTCAATCTACAGTTTGATCCCAGTGGTTAGAAGAGATTTTTAGATGAGTGTATGTCTCGGAGAGAAGGGAGTGGGCATGTTGGGGGTCCTAGTCTTATAAGTGTTCAAACTTGGCGTTCATTTGTGTGAAGACCTACAGGCTTCAGTTCTCTCCCTTGCCTTGGCTGAGACCCCAGGACAAACTCTGGCCAAGATTTCTGTGTAGTGCCCTGCCTCTGCTTTCCAGTATGCCATTTACCTCATTCATCATGGCACCCAGCACTGTGAGGTGCCAAGCACACTGACCCTCCCAAGAGTCTCATGTGTAACTCAGCCCTTCTCATGCTCCTTATTTGTGAGTAACTGCTGGAATTCATTCAGGTTCATTCATTCAGATGACAGAATCCATTCCCAATTCTCCAAGCAAGAGACATTTCCAAAAACATAGATGCAGGGGCAGGGGACCTAGCTCAGTAGCAGAGCATGTGATTAGCATGTGCAAAGCCCTCATTCACTCCCAAGCACTGATAAAAAGAAAAAAGTGCAAAAGAGAGAACCTTGAAATCTTTCCTAATTAACAGTGGAGAGATTATCTGCCTGAACAATTGCATTGTCCAGGAAGTGGTTCAACAGGTTCGTTTTATTCTCGGAGGTCTGAGAATATGTTCTTATACTTTTCTAAACAAAAAAATAATAATCTCTAAAGAGACTTCATGCCACATAAAATGTTGGTTCGAGATATTGAATAGTGACGCAGACCTGTAATCCTAGCAGCTCAGGAGGCTGAAGCAGGAGGATTGTGAGTTCAAAGCCAGCCTCAACAACAGAGGCACTAAGCAACTCAGCAAGACCCTGTCTCTAAATAAAATACAAAATAGGGCTGGAGGTGTGGCTAAGTGGCCAAGTGCCCCTGACTTCAATCCCTGGTACCCACCCCCCCAAAAAAAAGATGTTGAATAAATGGAAAGAAAAGCAAACAGATATAGTATCACATTTGCTCTATGATAGGCTTATCAGAGATCATTTAATAATAGAACGAGCCATTTTTTTTCAAAAGTATTTTAGAAAGCTAGAATATTTAAGGAGTCCTGTGTACGTCAATGATTGTGGGTTGACAAATGTGAATAATGCCTTCAGTGCAAGATAGTTACATGAGACGGGTAAACTATAGATGAAGACAAAAAGATTTTGAAAAGAATAATTTCAGGCCTTAAAAGCGACTAAGTAATGTGCATATGTGTGGCACAGTACAGTTCAGCAAGAGCAATGCTGAAAAATCTGTCATCTTCTGTGTAACACTGTGGGTTATTTACTAGAAGCCTAAGATGCTTCCAGAAATCCGTGGGGGTTATTTGTGGTTGTTTTTGTTATTTTATTGAATGTTCTGTTGTGTTTGCGGTACTGGGGATCAAACCCAGGTCTTCACATGGGCAAAGCATGCTGTACCAACCCTTGAAATTTTAAAAATCCCAGCTCTGTGGACTGTGTGCTTTGCCTTGACCACAGAAAGCAGCTTCAGGAGGTGGGCCACCATCCCAGTCCCCTTGCATTGGTAGGCGGCAACGACCTGATTCTAGTCCTCAGTGATGACGCTTTGTCACATTAGAAATTCAAGGGCATTGTGACCTCTGCAAGCAGCAGACATGACACCCATGCTGAGGGTGGGCTCCTCTTCCCCTCCGCCTCATTGGAGGGGGAGGAGAACATCAAAAGTGCTTTTAGGCCCCTAACATCTAAGTTCCCAGTCCTTGTAAATCGTATTTCCTGATATTTGCTGTTTAAATTAAATTATAAAGAAATTTACCCAAAATGACATAGAAATAACAGGTGTTTCATTTGTGAATTCCAATTTCTGGGTGCCGATGAACATAAAAGCTTATTTGTGTGTGTATGTGTGTGTTTTTTAGAAGTCTCAGCACAAACGGAAATCTGTGACATTCAGCAAGACTGGAAGCCTTCATTCCTCAGTAATGAAGAATTCACTCAGCTGATGTTGGAGGTGAAATGCACTTTCAAATTAGCTTAATCTGTTACAGCTTAAACTACTCGTTCCTGCTAAGCCCCTCTACCCCAAGAAGGAAGCTCTTCTTGACCCTGGAAAGAGGTCTTGAGATAGATACTGTCCTGGGCGTCAGCCTGTTATGCTTTATGTTTTGGCTACGGAGTTGGGCAAAATAAGCAAGAATTTCCAAAATGAATGTTAATGTGTCCTATCCCTCCGTGCCTGTAGGGCGGGTCCCCTCACCCAGTGCAGGGGGTGGGGTTGGAGGTAGGGAGAGAAGGGAAGGAGAGAGGGAAGATCACAACATCTGGCATCTATCATTGGACTCAGAGGGTCTTTTCTCTGAAATGCAATGATGGTGTGTGTGTGTTTTTTTTCCCCTTAGTAGAAACACTTGGCAAATTAAATTCTTCTTTTAATGTGTTATGCTTTTACCTTGAGCTCCTATGACACCAGGGTGGCATGTTTCTATGTCAACCGCAGTGTCCCTGCACTTTCCACCCAACCCACGCCCTTTCTGTGCTAAGATGCCCAAGTTCCTTCTTCTGGACTGGGGGCCGGTTCGCCTGCAGGGCTTTTGTGCCAACCTGGCCAAGCTGAGTGTCCCTCTGCACCTATGTGTATTTATGTATGGGTGAAAGTCCATGGGACCCACGAGATCGGACTCTACAAAGCGCCTGGCATCGTGCGTGACTTCCAGCCTCGGGAGGGAGAAGACTGAGACCACACAAATATGGCCACCAGGGCAGAGAAAACCTCCAACGTGGTCTCTCCAGGCCCTTGACCCAGGAGAACGAGGACAGGCAAGTTCAGCGAAAGGAAGTTCGTCCCTGGCTCTGTGCCCGCATGTGGTTCCTGGCAGGGTTTTCGGAAAGTGGCTTCTTGGGATAAATCTTTCTTTATCTCATCTGTGTGCCTATATAAGACTGATAAACTTGAATTTACATAGATTAGCTATGCAGAAAACAGAAAGTACTGGAATAAGAAAATGCCAGAATAAAGATGTCCAAATATTATGAAATATGAAAGCATTAATGAACATTTGCCTAAAACGAAAGATACTTAACTCTACATGGGAACTATATTTAAAGAAAATACAGAACTTTCTACAGAAGCAATGCATTTTAAGTATGTTAAATTTAAAGCAACTTGTGAAATATAATGTTGAATTAATGTATCATTATGCTACTTTACATACATCGATTTCTCTCTTAATTCTTATGGAAAAGTAGTTAAAACATAAGAACCCTCTTGCATCAGCCACTTTTTTAAGAGTCTCTAGCACAAACGTCGTTTTGCTTTTTCCAGTGAGTTTCAAGGTGTCGAAAGAATTTGAGACAACAAGGTTTGTATTAAGTTAAAAATAAATAAATGTGGGGGTCTGCAATGCAGGACTAAGGTTGAAGAGACTGGAATTTCTAGGAAAAGATTTTACATGGGGACAGGTAGTCTTTATGCACTTTATGCACCTGTTCCCAGGACAGACCGCAGACTCCCTGGAGTGGATGGAAAGGAAGACACAGGAACGAAGGGATCTGCGATCCAGCCCGCACAACCAGAGGGCCTCCACCCGTGTAACCAGAGCCTTCTCCAGGGCGGGAGGCTGCAAGCTAGCACTTCTGGTTTATCTCTGCCTGTGTCCACCTTCTACTACAACCTGCTACTCTGTCTTCCACCTTCCCCTTCCTGGTGTCCTGAGCCCCTGGCCCTGCAGTGGATCCCCTCGTGGGTGACATCCTCATTTCCCACTGGGCAGCTTCTTCACTGAGAGGATCTCTCTCCAGATGCACATCCCTCTGCTCTTTTTGGAGACACGAGGAATCCGGCATCCAGGCTTGATCCCTTTTCCATTTTTTTTTTCCCACTGAGGACAGAACCTAGGAGAGAAACTGCCGTGCCCCCAGGTGCCCTCTGGGTGTGAATCCCTCTTTTCTCCTGCCTTCTTTTCAAAAGGCACACAGCCAGGCTCCGGGAGGACTCTCACAGCGGTGAAGTTTGAAAGATCAAAAATCACCCGGGTTGCAGAGCAGTGCCCTGGTGGAGTGTAAGCTGGGAAGACCGAGGCCCCAAGCTCCTTTGCAAGTTGACTCAAAAGGAGAGAAGGCGCTTGTTGACCAGGGACCTGGAAGTGGGTGGTATTTCCGTGTTCTATTCAGAAGAGCTGAATCTTTCTTCTTCGCCCAGAGGTTGTCCCAGAGAACTCAGGGAATGTTCCATCAGATTTAGGAACTAACAGAAAGAGGGGGTTTCCTTTCTCTCTGGTGTGTTTCAGGTATAAAAGTCTGGGCCCTTTTCATCATGTCCCTGTGAGAATCACCTTTATCTGGACAGGTGCACGCCACTGTGCAGTCACTTGCTATTGAATCGCCTTGGTAGTGGGACTTCCAAAGCTGTGGCAAACATTCTCATTGCAGTGCAGTGACTCATGCTGTTCTTGTAGATTTGATGGGAAATGCCAAGGAGCTGATGAAAGTGATCCCCCGTCCATAAATACCTTCTGCTTTTTAACACCCAAGAGAGATATGGGCTCACTGTGCAGAAACACCATTGTTTGTGCAGCCCCTCCCTTGGCCAGCCTTCTGGTCTGCTTTTTCTGGAAAGGTCCAGCTGTTATTATCAACAATGGCCCCGACTCTTTGAAAAACGTTTCACTTCAGGAGGTCTTCAAAGAGTCAGGGATGGCATGGCGGTTACCAGAGGCTGAGGAGAGTGGCGGGAAGGAGGATGGGGAGGGTGGATTAATGGGTGCACACTTACAGTCGGTTGTGCTATTGCACAGTAGGGTGGTGGTAGGTAATAATAATGTACTGTGTATTTCAAAAAGCTAGAAGAAAGGATTTTGAGTGTTTTCACCATAAAGAAGAAGAAATACAACTGATCAACAAATATATGAAAAAGTGTTCAACATCTCTAACAATTAGAGAAATGCAAGTCAAAACTACACTAAGATTTCATCTCACTCCTGTCAGAATGGCAATCGTCAAGAATACAGGCAACAATAAATGCTGGCGAGGATGTGGAGAGAAAGGTACACTCCTATGTTGCTGCTGGGACTGCAAATTGGTGCAACCACTATGGAAAGCAGTGTGGAGATTCCTCAGAAAATTGGGAATGGAACCACCATTTGACCCAGTTATCCCACTCCTTGGTTTATACCCAACGGACTTACAATCAGCATACTACAGTGACGCAGCCATATCAATGTTTATAGCAGCTCAATTCGCAATAGCTAGACTATGGAACCAACTTAGGTGTCCCTCAATAGATGAATGGATAAAGAAAATGTGGTATATATACTCAATGGAATATTACTCAGCTTTAAAGAAGAGTAAAATTATGGCATTTTCCAGTCAATGGTTGGAGTTGGAGAATATCATTCCAAGTGAAATAAGTCAACCCCACAAAACCAAAGGCCGAATTTTTTCTCTAATATGCAGATGCTAATTCACAATGAGTGTGGGGAAGGGCACTCGGGAAGAATAGATTAGGTAGAGGGAAGTGAAGGAAGGGGAGGGAAGGGGATGTGGGGATAGGACAGATAGTAGAATGAAACAGACATTATTACTATATGTATACATATGACTACCTGACAATAGGATTCTGCAACATGTACACTCAGAAAAATGAGAAATTCTATCCCATCTATGTATGATATATCAAAGTGCACAAATGCATTCTATTGTCATGTATAACTAATTGAAAAAAATTTAAAAAGAATAAGCCAGGCATGATGGCACATGCCTATAATTCCAGCAGCTTGGGAGGCTGAGGCAGGAGGATCTCAAGTTCAAGGCTAGCCTCAGCAATTTATCAAGGCCCTAAGCAACTTAGCTAGACCCTGTCTCAAAATAAAAAATAAGAAGGGCTGGGGACGTGGCCTAGTGGTTAAGCACCCTTGAGTTCAATATCCTCTACTAAAAAAAACCCAAGAATTAATAAATGTTCAAGGGGACAGATAGGCTTAACCTGATTTAAACATTACACAGTGTATACTGAAACATCACTTCACATCTCATAAATATGTACAATTTCGTTTTTATGTAAAAATATAAATTAAGTTAATAAAAACTAATTTAACAAATTTAAAAAGAAAAGAAAAACAATTTAGACAAATAACTGAGGGGAAAGAAATAAAACTTATGGGGAAGTACTTTTTTATTCACGGTGACCCATCAGTCTAATGGGGAGTTTCTCGACCTCAGCATGATTGACATTTTGGATCTGATACTTCTTGGTTGTGGGAGCTGTCCTTTGTCTATAGGATGCTCTGTGACATCCTTGACCTCCCCCGCCACACTGGATACTGGCGTCACCCACTCCTTAATGACAGCCCCGAAATATCTCCAGACATTTCCAGGTGTCCACCCCCAGTTGAGAACCACTGATGGAATCAGAAAGGATGAGATTCCTTGAAGAAGTGTGCTCTCATATATATATATATATATATATATATATATATATATATATATATATATCTTTTTTTTTTGTCTTAAAGTTTGTCACACACCCGTGTGAAATAACAAGGGAGCCTAGTGTCAGTTGTCAGTTTTCCTGTGAAAGAGCCCCCATTCCCCTTCTGTTGGCTCCTTTCTTGGAGGGAGGGGCCTGTTCTCGCAGGTGCACTCAGACATCCAGTTGCCACTGTGACCCCATTCTGCACCGAATTATATCATCAGAATTTTATCAGTCAACTCTCAGATGAGTTTACGAAAGCATTATAAGCACCCACATTAAAATAAATCTCCACAGAACAGCGAAAGTGTCTGCTGTGTAAGAAAACATTGCCCACGTTAAACCTTTTAGGTCACGAGTACCCAGAAGGGTGTGCCTGGCATTTAATAGACACCTAATAGATACTTTCATGTGAATGCCTGTTTTCCAACATTTAGAAAAGCTCGTGTGTCCAGCTCATTTCACAAACCCCCATCCCTACCCGGCCTTGAGGAGCAATGAGAATGTTCTTTACAAATGGTCCCTTCTATAGCTATTGCTTCTGTGGCCGCGAACATAGACAGAGGTTGACCTTGGCCAACAGGCACACTTTCTATTTGTAGGCCTCTATTTCATCTTAAATCTTGTAGGAAATACTGGTGAACTCAAAGTGATACTGGGGTTGGCGGGACAGGGACCATACGCATTTCCGACGTCTTCCTATGGTAATGATGATATTTCTGACTCAGCTCAATGAATCATGTGAATGATCGTGTGCCTGTCATTAAACTACTTCAGCAGTTTCCATGGCTAAATTTGGTTTTATGACACCAATAGGTCAACTTCTTCACTGAGTCTGAAACGCTTTTAGAAGTGCATTCCGTGGGCTAAGCAAACTCTGTGTAATGAACCCTCTGGTGTATAAGGTAGGAAAGTGCTGGGAGGGGATTCCTGGAAATACTGTAAGGACTTCAAAGCAAAGTCAGTGTCATAAAATGGCCCTTTGCTTCAGGGACATGTCCCTCCACTAAAGCATTGCTAAGGAGCTTTCAAATGTGCATTTTCCACAGGCACTAGATGGCTTCATTATCGCAGTGACAACAGATGGCAGCATCATCTATGTTTCTGACAGTATCACGCCTCTCCTTGGGCATTTACCGGTGAGTGTCTGCTTCAGTGGCCTTTGTCTGTGTACCTTGTCACCTTATTCTAGAGAATCATTGAGATCTCAGGTGGGACGTGGTGGGGGTCTAGGGCAATGGGACCTGGGGGTATGAGAAGGAGAGATACTGGAGAGTTAGGGAGTGCCCAGGTGCTGGAGGACCAAGTCAGGCCAAGCTCAAGGTCCCAGGGGCAGACCAAGGGCAGGTGCAGGCTTGCGTCTCCCGGGAGCAGTCATGGCACCAAGATTCCAGTAAGGACAGGCTTGGGGGAGAGGACGCTCATCCACGTTCTTATCCCTGGTCAGAAACAGACCAACGTGAGAATCGCAGCAGTCGGCAGAGCTCAGAGTCATCCGGGTGACTGAGAACTGATGGAGGGATGGGCAACAGATGGCTCAGACTGGAACATGCTTGGGGGCTCGCTGGGGACATGTCCGAGATTGCAAGTACATGGTGACCCTTAATAGTAGTGGGGAGCAGGATGACTCCTGGGGGTTCAAACATGCTGGGCAGATGTCACTGGACCTGAGTCTGGGAAGGCCTTGGTGAGTAGAGAGATGGCCAGGCTTGGGGGTGAGTACAGACAGATGTCCCTCCCACTCTTCCCCTCCCTTCCCCCTCTCTGCACAAGCCTTGCTGGTAACCCTGTGGCTCAGGATGAAATGTCCCTCAGATCTCTACCAGGTTACTAGAGGATGCACCCCGAGGGCTCCGCAGAGCCCTGTGGCCCGTCTTCCACTCCTGCCACACCATTATTTATTCCTACAGAACCTGACCTTGAATGTCAGCTCACCAGGAGTATCCCACATGACAGACCCGGGTGGAATGTCCTCTCTTCTCTCTCCTCCCAACGAGCCCTGGCCAGACCTCTCCTCGCCCCTGAGCATGGGTGGATAGTGGCCAGTTTATGTGACGAGGGGGGACGCAGCTTTCCCTAGGTTCCCACATAGGGATCCTGGGCCAGGAGGAATCCCACAGGGCGTGGTCCCCCCTTCTCCGCCACAGCTGCCTAGGGAACAGCATGGCCCTGCTTTGTGGGCAGCTTCCCTCCCCTTTGGGGTGATGAGCCCGATTCTGCTGAGGGCCCAGGGTTCCACATCATCCTGGGTCTCACTGGTCCTCAGAAGCCGCTGCCCCATCATCTGTGCCAGTGACACAACGTGCCCTTCAAACCTGCCACGCACACTTTTCCTTTGGTCACTGTGTCATGCCAGAAAGGCATTTTTGACTTCTCCGGGCAGATGCGGTCCGGTTACACCATAATCTAACCCTGTGGGTTTCACTTTGTGTTGTGCCCATTTCCTGAGGTCAGGAGGTGACAGACAGGCCCAGAGGTGCCAGAGGGGGACTCCCTCTCAGCCCCAAAGAGGCTGAGGTGAGGCTACCTCCCCAGTCCAGGAGGAGTGGGATGAGCTGGAAGCCATGAAGGTAGATGTGACCCCCTCCTTTAGTGTGGGTTCCTCTGAGGATGGCCAGGGAGAGAAGGGGAGATGGGCTGCTCTTTGGAGGGATCTTGTGTTTTGCTTTGAATGGTAACGAGGGGGACAGAGACAGGCCCTGGCTGGAAACAACCAGCCGTGACCTGCTTACTGACCCAGCAAGGAGAGCCCAGAGCCCTGAGCGCTGTTTGGGTGAACAGGATTTGTACTGCTCTGCTTTATGCTTTTGTGATTATCTGATGACCCAGTTGCTATATATGGCAGAGGGGACTTAGAAAGTAAGATGGGAATTCTTCTGACTTGAAATTATGCGGTCATTTAGGAACACCTTTGTGAATTATTTCCTAACTCTAGAAGGGCCAGAAATGACCCCCCAGCTCTAACTGGTCAATGCCAGACCCACCTGAATGCTCAGTAAGTGTCTTTACATAGAGACCCAGGCCACCACCCAGACAGCCAGGCCACCTCCCCTCGCCCTGCCCCATGCAGATGAGCCCCAGGATAGGCACCCCCACATCTTGCTTCAGTTTAAGTTCAGGTTTCCTGATCCTGTCTTTACCAGGATTGTCCTTTGCAAGTGGATGGGCAGGGGCTGGGGAGGATGGACACGTCCCAGGTCCTCTCAGCGTGCAGCTGGCTGGTCTGGGAGTCAGAGCTCTGTGGGCTCCGCCTTCCCAGGGCCTACACCAGGCCTCCAGCCCGCCCCTGAGGCTGCCTGGTGTCAAGGATTGGGCTGCAATGGAGAAATTCTGCTTTTGACTATCCATAGAGGGTGGAGCATTTCTGAAGCCCCGGGCGGTTGGCTTCCTTCAGGGTTTGCACTTTTGTTGAGATTCCACCTGTCCAATCATTAGCCACTAACACCATATCTAGGCCATTACTATGTACCAGACACCTTGAAGAGTCACTTCCACGAGCTGATATGTAAAAAGTACTTGGAACAGTGCCCGGCACAGAGTGAGGGCCACTTCATATTCCCTCTCCTTACTCCTCTGTTCAATAACCGCATGAAGTTGGTCATCGCCCCTGTTCATAGGAGAGGAAACAGTGGGCGGCCCAGAGAGGTAGAGTAATTTATCCAAGGCTCCACAGCCAATTTGACCTCAGACACTTTAGCTCCAGAGCCTGACGCTCAATCACTACTCAGAACGCTGCAGAGGACAGAATAAAGTTGAAAGTTCCCAAGTTGTGCTGGGTGGTCAGGTAGGGAGAGAGTGAGGACCCCACAGGTGGTGGTCAGCCTACATGGAAGAGATGGCCACTGAGGGAAGACATGGCCGGCTGGGACACAGGGTGAGCAGGGGCCAGGAGGCCATCATCCCCAGCGACAGAATCCCTATCAGTGTCACAACAAGCACAGGCTGGCACATAAGGGATCCTGCCCCATGGTCCCCTGTCGGTGATGCAGGAATGAAGAACAACCAGAAAATCTGGGGCAGCGGCCCACACCAGTAATCCCATCTGCTCAGGAGGCTAAGTCAGGAGGGTTGCAAGTTCAAGGCCAACCTGGGCAACCGAACAAGACCTTGTCTCAAAAAAAATAAAAATAAAAATAAGAGCAACCAGAACTTTTTCCATGTTTGAGAAATATCCTAGAACTTTCTTTTTTTAGTTTGACAGAGAAAAGAAAGAAAAAAAATAATAATGTGAAGCAGAAAATGATGTCATGAGAAAGTCAAAACTGTTCGGTGGCCTCCTTGACGTCTAGAACTAACACAGGCGATCAAAGCAGAAGTGTGAGCTAAGAGATGTGCTTCTGGAGGACCCAGGGCTAAAGGTGGCCTCTGGGATGGAAAACTTTCAGGAGAGGTTCAAGGGGAGCCAGCCACATGCCTTGGACAGAATTGGGGAGCAGTCTGGTTGCAGCAGATAATGTGGGCATAGATAACCCAATTTCCCCAAAAGGAAATACTCTAAGGCACAAGCATTCAGAAAGTTGGAAAGATCCACAGACTAAAAAAATATTTCCCCACAGGACTGACTTGCCAGGTAAAAGCTCCATTCAGCAAGAAGAAAGCATAGGACGAGAGTACAAAGTGGGACCTGTTCCCACGGCAGGGTCCCAGCAAGGAGGAGCCCTCCCAGGAAAGGGCAGAGCCCCTGGTTTAGGATACCAGGAAAGGCAGCAGCAGGACCAAGGCCCTGAGACACACTCTCCAGGACACATCCCTCAGCCCCTCCTGCCCTCCCCACCTGATCCAAGCCACTCTGTCAGAGGTGACTTCTGGGCCTGGCAGGGTGTCGACAAGTGTGGCTGCAGCTTGAAGTGGGTCATGAGTTAAAGAGAAATCACTAGATTTCTTTTTAATCATGCATTCTGATTTTTATGGATCATCCATACAGATATGTGAATACAGCATAAGTCTAATGTTTAAATACATGGCTAAGTGAACAGAAGCCTACAGGTAAATGTCACCAAGGTTAAGAAATGGAACAGGGCTGAGACCACAGGCGCTCCTGCCCACGACATTTCATCACACCCCACTTCCACCGAAAGACAGCTGTTTTTCTGATTTTGTTTTTGTTTTTGTGTTTGGTGCTGGGGATTGAACTCAGGAGCACCCGACCACTGAGCCACCTCCCCAGCCTGGTTTTGTATTTTCATTTTATTTAGAGACAGGGTCTCGCTGAGTTGCTCAGGGCCTCACTTTTGCTGAGGCTGGCTTTGAACTCGTGATCCTCCTGCCTCAACCTCCCGAGCCGCTGGGATTACAGGCATGTACCACTGGGCATGGCTTGTTTTCCTGACTTTTAAAATCATTTGCTTGTTTTTCTTTGTAACTTCATCAATTTTTGAATTGATCATTAAGCTTTAATTGAGTAGAAGCTGAGTATCTATTATCAGAAATGCTTGGAACCAGATTTTGGATTTTTTTTCATTTTTTTGGAATATTAGTACTTACCTCAATATTTGCATAATGAGGAATCTTGGGGATTGGGACCCAAGTCTAAACATGATGCATTTATGTTTTATATACACATTGTACACATAGCCTGAAGGTAATTTAATATGCCATTTTTAAAATTATTTTTTGTATTTATAGATGGACAGAATGCCTTTATTGTGTTTTTATGTGATGCTAAGGATTAAACCAGTGCCTCACACATTCTAGGCAAGCTCTCTGCCACTGAGCTACAGCCCCAGCCCTGATACCGTTTTTAATAATTTTGTGCATAAAGCAAGATTTCATGGCATGGAATTTTCTGCTTGTGGCATGATGTCAGCGCTCAGAAAGTTTCAGAATTTGGATTTTTGGATTAGGGATTTTCAGCCTGTATTGCCTTTAGCTTAAGTGGAATCCTGGGAAATAGCCTTGTGGTTTCTCCTTGTGCTTACCCTGTTTAGGAGATTCATCCTTCTTCCCCTGTCTGGTGTAGGGGTCCTTGGTTCTGGCTGCAATGCAGTGTGCCATTTTAGGAACGTGCTACAGTTCCTGCATCCGTTCCAGGTTGGCACTCCTGGCCAGTGCTTCTGCGATCTCCCCGTAGTGCTGAGAACAGTGCAGGTGTAGAATTGCTGGCTTTCAGTGTGTTGGCTTGGGGGGGGGGGGGGAGGTGTTCCTTCACCTTTACTTCACCCAACTGGACTATTTCCATAGTGATTGATTGCATCAGTGTTCCCTCCACCAGCGGGGTGCAGAGTTCCAGGTGATTGCGTCACCAGACTTGGTACTGTCAGGCTTTTTAGGTTTTATCAATCTAGTGTGTGAGGCAACTCATGGAGCTTTCATTAGCTTTAATTAGCTCATTACTAGTGAGACTGCGTCTTTCCCTGTTTCCTGGCCCTGTGGATGTCATCTCCTGTAAAGTGGCTGCTCAGGTACAGCCATGCCTCCCTTCATGACAGGGAGACATTCTGCTGAAGGTGGCATTAGGTGATCTCGTCATTGTGAGAACATCGAGATCAGTGTGCTACACTAATTAATGTCCTGCCCATCAGTAATGGTACACAATTAGATATCACCTCCCACACACCTAGGCAACAGGCTACATTCTGTTGCCCCTGAGCTGCAAACCCGTGTGCCACACGGCTGTAGTGGATACTGCAGGCAGTTGAGACACAAGGGTAAGTATTTGTGCACACCAAAGGAGAAAACGTACGGTAAAAGGTACCTCATATTCTTATGGGACAACCATAGCATGTGTGATCTGTCATTTGCTGAAATATCTTTATGCAGCGTGTATCTTGTTTTGGACATTTTCCTCTTGGACTTTTGGACTCTTCTAACGATTTCCAGGCACTCTTTCCGTGACCTGGACATAGTCCTCGGTGAAGGACAGTTTTAAGTGCCTCTTATTCACCCTCTCCCAGGGCAAGGGGGATGTTTGAACACACAACACCCAATCCTGGGCAGATGAGACAGCAGGTCGAGTCACACACACTCAGTGGAGGACATCGCACACCACACAGGGCCACATAGGGGCTGCACTTGGGAACAGATGCACTAGCAGGGGCTGGGGGAGGCAGGTTTGTAGTAACAGACAGTGGGTGACCCCGGTTGCCTGGAGGATACGATTGGTTTATTTGAGTGATTCCACAGGCCGACAGGAAACTAGCCTGTTACTTGGAAATGAGCAGGAACGTGCCCAGTCCTCTTGAGAAGGAGGGTATTTGGCCGGGGGACCCTATCCACTGAGGCAGAGTGGGGACGGAAACTTGCAGTTAGGCCCTGCCAATGTCATCAGAGGTCAAGGAGGAGCATAACAGGGAACCTTAATTTTAGGCCTTTTATTGTGGGTACATGTGTTGCAAATATCTTCTCTCACTTTGTGGCTTACCTTTCCCCTCTTTGAGGTATTTTAATGAACATAGCCTTTCTTTATATTTAGCAATATATTTAGTTAATTCAGCGCACCAAGGGCAAAGCTATTCTCATACTGTTTGGCCATCCGTCTTATTCGCATCTCGGTTGAATGTTAGCATCTCGAGCATGCCTCTGACATCTTGGTTCCTTAACCAGGTGAAGGCCCCGAGGAGCCCATTCCTGCTGCTTCCTAAGTCAAGGAGTCCCCAGACCTCTCACACTGTGCCTTCTAACTGAGGCCAACACATATCTTCAGCCAGAACTGTCCCCTGGGGCCCCTCAGGGATGTTACAGGACTGAATGTCCACCCAGCCCACTTGCAGCCCATCCGCCAGCCACTGAACTGGTGCTACTGGTCCAAGGGAGAGAGGTTTCCTTGGTCCTCAGCGGTGTCAGCTCATCCCCAGGCACTCGAGCGAGACTCCCTCGGGGGGGACACAGGAGAGGCTCGGGTGCAACTAGGCCCTCCTGGTGAAGCTCAGGGAACTGCCAACTGCTCCTTAAAGCAGCCTAGGAGACCATTAGCAAGTTGGGAGAGAGAAGCTCCTGCCTGATGCAGGTAAATGACAGTCCTGTTAATGACTCAGACGCGAAGATGGCTGCAGATGGCAGGTTCCCTCCCTCGTCTCTGTGATTGCTATTATTTTAATCAATAGAGCTCAGCTCATTCAAGGAACGGTTCAACCGCAGACGTGATGTATTCTCCTATCTGCACTAGGGTTTAGATTTTCAAATTGTCATTGTTCCTGGCAGTACTCAGCACGTGGAAATGGCATAACAATCCTATACTAGCAAATACATACAAGCCACGGGCAATTCTGAGCCCTGTGTACTGACTATAATGCTCACGACCTCCCATTACCCCACCTCCCCCACCTCCATCCATCTTTATTCTGGGCAGACTTGCTGCCCGAGGTGCCCCACAGCATGAGGATGGACAGGCCAGTGACCCCAACCTCACTCTCTGCCACACCCGCCCTGGGAGAGGTGGCTTCAGATGGAGCAGTCCAAGAGAGGAGCACGGAGTGACTTAGTTATCATTTTCATGTGTCTGAAATATCTTTAAGAGGAAAGGTCACTCTCATCCATGAACATTAGTCATCAGCTAAAAAAGAAAACTAGAGGAAAATGGCTTGAACTGCAATCAAGACCATAGAGTCTTTTTCGTAGAGATTAAAAATTGGTGTCTCCGTCTAAGCCATCCTGAGTCCTTCCTTTCTCTCCTCCTGTCCCCCAGTTGGCCACCAAGCTGTGTCCACCGTCCTCATACCCATTAACATGCTGACTCCAGGAAGGGAGGGACTTGGTGGTGTTTCTTCCCAGTGCCCCAAACAGCGTCTGAGCACTTAGGAGTCCTTACCAGTATGACCAGTCTTACCAATCCCGGTTGCAGTATGGTTGAGTGGATGGTCTTGGACTCCCCTGCCCCGTCTGTCCCCATGCACACTCTAACCATCTCCGGCCTGGCTTCCTGGGCCCCCTCCCTTCAGATCACACGTGGGATCTCTTTGAAATACAAGTACAAACCGAGAGTGGTGGCGCACACCTGTAATCCCAGAGACCTGGGAGGCTGAGGCAGGAGGATGGCAAGTTCAAAGCCAGCCTCAGCAACTTAGTGAGGCCCTACTGATACATATCACTGTTACATATCACTAAAAAGAACCAATAAATAAATTTTTAAAAGTATATATGTGTGTATATATATATATATATATATATATTAAAGCAAGTGATTGGCTGGATATTTAATTTAAAAATATGTACAAAGATGTTTGATGCTGTGTGAGTAGATGACTTTACTGAGGGAACCTGAGGAAGCCAGAGAGATGTGCCTGCCTCCTCCCTCTCCCCACTTTGAACCCTTGCCTGTCTTTTCCTGTAGGCTAGCCACTAGCTACACGTTTAAAGTTTCATTTCTTTTAGTTGGACTAGTCGCCTTCCAAGTGCTCAGGGGACACAGGTGGTCAGCAGGTCCTGTGAGGGGTGGTACAGATGCAGACCCCCGACTCACACAGATGGCTTTATTGGACCGGGCTGTATCTAGACTCTAATATTTAGGTTGGATCCTAGTACCTAGGCACTCGGGGGGGAAAATGTGAAACTCCTTCAGTTCCAGACCTTTAAGAAATAAACAGGCTGCTTTTTGCTGGCCAAAAGGTCAAGAAAGGAACCCTATGTACTGTTTGGGGCCATTTGAGTGAGTGACGGGGCTCTCCCTGGGGCTCCACGTGGCCTCACCACCCCAGCCAGGACACAGACAAGACAAGAATTTGACTTTGGAAAGGAGGTTAGAACGAATAAAGAAGGGAGGGCTAATTTTAAGCAGATGGGGCGCCGTGGGCCTGAGGAGGACTCCTCTTTGTGCATCTGTTAGACTTGACATTCAGTCTTTCCTCAGCCCATGGACAGTAGCACATTCGCATTTGAGCAAGTACAGGGCTCCTCCGTATCCGGAGTCAGGCAACGCTGATTGAAAATATTTGGAAAGAAAATTCTGTCTGCACCGAATGTGTATTTTTTTCTTATCATTATTCCCTGAACAATACAGCGTAGCAACTAGTTACAGAGCATTTACATGGCATTAGGAAGATAAGTCATCTAGAGATGATTTGAAGTCTACAGGAGTATGTGGGCAGGTTCTACATGAATACTAGAACATCTTTCAGAAGGGACTTAAATGTCTATGGATTTGGGGAGCTACAAGGGGTCCTGAAAACAATCCCCAGAGGATACCAAGGGATAACTATGGTTCTTTTATTTTTTTTTTCTTTTAATTTTTTTAAGTTTTCAAAAAAAGATTATGGTACTGTGCATCAAACCCAGGGCCTTGGACATGCTAGGCAGGTGCTCTAGCTCTGAGCGCTTCCCCCAGACCCTATAAAACCTTTTCGGTCACAATTTAGGATTACAGAGTGATGCATGGGGAGTGTTCACAGAAAATCAGATCTTGGGCCAGGTGCTGTGGCACACACCTGTAACTCCAGTGGCTCAGGAGGCTGAGGGAGAAGGATCACAAGTTTGAGGCCAGCCTCAGCATTTTAGTGAAGGCCTAAGCAACTCAGTGAAACCCTGTCCAAAATTAAAAAACATAAAGGGCTGGGGGGTGTGGCTCTGTGGGTAAGCACCCCTGGGTTCAATCCCCAGTAACAAAAAAATAAAAATCAATAAGACCTTGAACTTCCCCTTTCAGAATCTGATCCTGAGGAGTCAGGCACAGTTTTAGCCCCCGGTTTTGCCTCTTACTGCCCTGGAGTGTGCACCTCTGTTCTTTATTTTCTTTTGCAGTCGGATGTCATGGATCAGAATTTGTTAAATTTCCTTCCAGAACAAGAACATTCCGAAGTTTATAAAATGCTTTCTTCCCATATGCTTGTGACGGAATCCCCCTCCCCAGAATTCCTAAAATGTAAGTTTCACTTCACTGTTTTTTTTTTTTTTTAACCAGGTCTGAAGATAAGAATTTGACTTTGGAAAGGAGGTTAGAACGAATTAAGAAGGGAGGGCTAATTTTAAGAATAATTTTCCTCATGACTCAGAACGTTTTCCAGATCCTTTGAGGTATATTTTTAAGTTTAAAGCTAAAACCGGAGTCGGAAATCTGTAAGACATTTAGCTTTTATGTGGAAAATTTGAAGGCACAGACCTTAAGAATAACAACTTGTTTTGCATGTATGACGAGATTTTTTTTTTTTACATGAGAGTCTTTCGGTAATAAACAGTGCAAAAAAAAAAATCTGCGAATAATCATCTTATTTAGGGAAACACTAAAATGCTAAATTTGTATACTTCCAAATAACCAACTGGTAATTGACGAGTTAGGTCAAAAACTGAAAGTCTGCCTTCCCCAGGCTGTCATCTGGTTATTTATACCCATTTGCATTTTGATGGAATTTTAAAGTTTTTAACCAAAATACTTGGCAACGTGGCTAGAAGCCCGGCCTCGGTGCCCGGGAACCTCATGTCACTTAATGAAGCATGTGAAATATACACAGTAGCGAAGATGCTCGCATTTGTTCGAGCCTCAGTCCATTTTCCATGAATAATTTGTCCTGTCGTACATCTGATTTGACTTCAAAGCAAAGCAAAAAAAGATTAAATTAAAGAGAGCGGCTCTAGATGAACAGCTTGATTTTAATATACCGTCTGAAAACAACCGGAACTAATCAATGCCGACACAACCAACCACAGACATTTGCAAGCAAATTAAGACTAATTGGGCCCGAGTAGAGAAGGAGAAGTATCTCTGAACAATGGTAAGAGAACCCTGTGCCGCCAAGGTTAGAAAGCCACCTTCTGAAGTTAGTCACGAGGACAGAAATGGGCTGGCCCTGCGTGGACCAAGTCCCCTAAGAGTTTTGACAAACACGCCACTTGTTTAGTCTAGAATCTGTGTAATGTGCCTCTTCCTTTCTCTTTTCTTCCCTGAACGGCCCAGCTGACAACGATTTAGAGTTTTATTGCCATCTTCTCAGAGGCAGCTTGGACCCAAAGGAATTTCCAACTTATGAATACATAAAATTTGTAGGAAATTTTCGATCTTACAACAATGGTAAGCTTTAATTGTCCCCATAATTGCCCACAGTGTCTTTTATCATGCAAACGTGCACATGAGCCACCGCCTAAGAATCCTAAGAATCACTGGGGGAGGGAGAGGGGGAAAATGTGTGCTTTTTTTTTTTTTTTTCAAATTTGCATTTCGATTTTTCTGTTCCCAAGATGCATTTTTCTGTGGCTCATCAGCGCTCTCTCCCTTTCCAGAACACACTCCCACACCTGTTTGTGCCGGTGCACAATGTCCCCTTCGATGGCGTGCAATTCGCTTCTTTATTTTTTCAAGCTGATGAAATAATTCTGCCCTGTGAGAAACAACTTACAGTTAATAAAGAGCAGCCTACAGAATCCCCAGAATAGGACTTCACTGTGACATGGAGATCAGGATCCTTGCTTTCTACACTCCTGTCTCCTCTTTAAGCCCTGCCGAGCTCATGCTTTAATAGATCTGGTCCACGGGTCTTGTACTCGCTGTGGCCCAAATGCACAGTAAAGGGGCTATTTGACCATGAGCCAGCAATCTACACTGGGTCAATTATCAAGGAGGAGAAGCCATCACTGAAGTCGTATTTTCTGAAACTCCTAGGATAAGGAACTGTCCAAACTCTGGCTGCAGAGATGTGAACCCGGAACTAGACTTAACGCTCATTTTTACTTTTGACACATGCAACATGGAATTACAGGCCGAGGCCAGTCATTCAGCAACCCAGTCTCATTATGGACAGATCATAGAAAGGCAGGCATCTTGTTTGCTGTGCTCCTCAAAACGCAGCACAAAACAGAGAACTTTGAGAGCGCTGACATCACATTCATCAGCAAAGACGGGAGAAAGTGTTGACAGGGAAGGAGGGAAAGAGAGACGTGCAGAAGGAGAAAAAATACCAAAGAAAAACAAAGACAGAATGATGAGCTGCAGAACAGAGAGGGAGGGCAGCCAGGGACCCAGGGCGGAGAGGAGGACAGCACTGACTGCTGCTGGTTTAATCACTGTTGTCTGACTCGGAACCCACGTAGGTCTGTTACTCCAGCCAAATCAGTCCCAGATCCCGTTAGCGCCAACCAGGGTGATAGTACTGAGTCCTAACTAACGCTGGGGCTAACCAGGAAATTCTTTTCCTCCAACTTCGAATGATTCTTTGTTGCGTATTATTTGCATGAATACATATGTTTTATAAAAAGTCTTCAGCTAGATGCTGAACACTGTGATCCTGCTAGAGGGATGTTCAGGCACAGTGTCCAGGGTTTTGCCTGGACAGTGGGCTCCCTGGCTGACTTGGAGGACCTCCTGGGAACCTTCCTATCCAAGGCTTCCGGGTCTCAAGTGGTTGGAGTGACGGTTGGTGTCTGCTTTCCAAAGGGGGCCCCTAAACCTGAGCAAAGCCAAGGCCTGACCATGTCTAATCCGATTCATCTGCAAGGTCTGCCCAAACTTCATGCAATGAGTGTTTTTAAAAGCCACACAAAGAAGTCAATGGTGTCTTGCTGGGTGGTTTTCTGGGCTGCCCAATTAAAGAATCCAGCTTAAGAGACACCATAGAGAAAACCCAGCATCCGCCCGACCAGTGCAGTGGGTCTTTGGATAAGATAACTAGTTAAAATGCAGATTCTCAGCCATTACCTTAAAGCAGATCTGAGACCCAGGAATGGGGAACCAAAAGGACTGGGGACTTGGGCTCCAGGTCGTGACATGCACTTGGACTAGTGTGACACCAAGTGCCATTCCCTGGAGAGTTCAGTGGCAAGACTTTCAGACAACTTTATTGTGGAGTTAATGTAGTGGTGGTTTGGAATTGAATTCAAATGTGCAGGCTGGTCCTCAAAACATTAAACATACAAACACTGAACATAACATTAAACACAGAACAGCCACATGACCCAGCAATTCCACATCTGGGTGTATACCCCAAAGAAGCGACAGTAGGGACTTGAAGAGATATTGGTGCACCTACGTTCATGTATGTCTGTATGCAATAGCCAGAAGGTAGAAGTAGCCCAGTGTCCGTCAGTGGATGGATGGGTAAAGATACTGTGGTATATCCTTACAATGGAATATTGTTCAGCCTTAAAAATGAAGGAAGTTCTGACTCGTGCCACAAACATGAATTGACCTTGATATTAAGAGAAGTGCACCAATCACATGCGTACACTTAAAAACAGGATGGTGGTCAGGAGTGCAGACTTACCATGCATGAGGGCCTGGGTTCAGTCCCCAGCACCAAAAATAATAATAATAACAATAATTGTATGTTATGTGCATTTTGCCACAATTTTCCTTTAAAAACTGCACGTACTCTAGCCAGAATAGCAGCACATCCTAAGCAACCAGATGCACAGAGGGGAAAGACACCACACCTCTCAGAGTGCTGAACCTGGGAATTATGGGATGCTATTCCCACGTGTCCCCATGACAACAGTGCACACACCTGATTATTTAAAGAACCAATCAGTGATTGGCTGGTGAGGAGCAGTTGTATCCTTTGTGAATTTACATTTCTACACCTCTTATGAAGACACTGCCAGCTATCACTTTGACGCACCCTGTCATTTATCACCTCTTAGAGGATTTCAAGGAAATAGCTGCATTCTGAATACCTGGGCTTTTTTTAAACTAGCAAGGCTTTATTTTCACTTCAAGTTGAGACAGTGTTTGTTTGCCTGGAAGAACGTGTAGAAATGATGTGCGACTTTTTTTTTTTTTTTCTTACTGTTACTGCTATGGCAGGGACAGCATTGAAAGTAGAAAATTCAAAACCAAGAATGCAGTGTCCCTCCGGAGCCTGTTGTGCAAACCAGAGTTAAGACGGGCTTTATGCAGACGAGAGTGTCCAAGTATAAATAGGGAGCTCTCAGACCCTCAGGCAAAGGGCCCGAAGTGGACCAGGGAACGCTGGTTGCGGTTCAGAGAGATCAGCTGTGGTGTGCTGCTGCACAGGAGGGTGGCCATTTGTTCAAAACACTAGGAGAAAGGATGGAGAATGTTCTCACCTCTAGGAAATGATACGTGTTTGCGATACAGATACAGATGTTCCCTGACTTGAGCCCTGGACACCCTGTACCTGGGTGGAACATGACTTGGCTTCTCATTAATGCGTACAATTCTGTGTCCAGAATTGTAATACAATTAAAATACAGATAAAGAATAAAGCAGTGTGCAGGCCCCAGAGCAGGGAAGAGAGAGGGCCAGACTGAGTCGGCAAGGGCTTTTGTGACCCTCAGATCTGTGGAGAAGAGGCTCCCCTCTGTTGGCTCCCTCAACGTCTCCTCCTGCAGGCCTGGGCTTGGGACCCAGTGGCCATGAGCTGTCAGTAGGTGCTGGGGGAGGGAGGGGCAAAAGCCCCTCTGCCCTTGCTAATGAGCTCACACTCTCCAGTTGGAAGTTTCCAGACTCACGGGCGGTGGGGAGGCTGGTGCCCATTCGACCCTGCCCACCCCCAGCTGCCTTTAGCACGGCAACCGTGGCCCAGATGCTTGAGCAAGACAGAATTTTCCCCTTCTCTGCTATTTGCCCATAGCAGTCACCCCTCAGGACTCGGCCATTTGCCCCCAGTGTCCAGGGGGAAGAGAGGGAGGACCGACGTCACTTCTTTCATCTAGATGGCTAACAAGTGGGAAGAAGTACGCACCAGGAAATGGAAAAGGAAGTCATCTTCCTCAGACGTGTTCACCTGAGCTCAGGGATGGGATGAGTGACCCCATGTTCTGTCTTCTTCTGGCCAAAGGCTGATGCTGACCCTGGGTGACAGGTGGCAGATGGGTGGGCCGCAGGTCCCAGCAGCCTTTGAAACAAGAAGTCTTTCCTTGGATTTATATGTTTGTTCTATAACAGATTTTTTTTCTTTTTTTTTTTTTTTGGAAGGGGGGAGAGAGAGGGAAATGCTTTTGGACAAATACACCATCGTATCTTTTTACTTTCCCAATTAAATATGGAGCCCTCTGGGCCTTCCGCAACCCCACACGCCCCGCGCCACGTCCCTGCCCTGTTGCTCTGAATGGGAAGGAACCAGCGGGTGATCTTCAAAGACAGTCTTTGCTTTACGGGGTCCCAAGAAGCAGGTTCCAGTTCCTGAAAGATGACTTCACGCCAGGAGGGAGGCCAGCCTTTCTCCGCACCCTGGCTCCTCCCCGGGACTTGGATTTAAATGTGCGTCTGACTGAAATCCAGAACGCAGTGTTTCAAAAGTCGCTGGTGTGGTTCCAAATAGGTCACCCTCAGCAAACATTCCACTCTGGGCTTTCCAGAAACCGCACACCAGAGGATAAAAGTTTCCCTGCCCTCATTTCACCTACTCGCCTCTAACCACACCGCCAGATTGGAAAGATGGCATAAGTGGGGACATTTCGGCTGAGAACACACGGATCCATGTGTTCCCTGAAGTTTCCGGAGACTGCCTCACTTTATGGCTTGGAGAGGGTTGTTTTTGCGTTTTGTTTTTCCCCCTGAACTGAACTAATGGAGATGTCTCAGCTAAGGGATGGAGGGGCATGCACACCAGGTCTCCCTGGGAATGGAGACAGGAGCTTGGACAGCTTCAGAGATGGAGTGAGGACCTGTCCACCACGGGTGCCTCAGAGAAGCAAGCAGAGTGTTCCCTCCACCCAGCAAAGCAGCCTCGTGTCCTTCCCCAGCAGTGGTCATTGCTGCCACATTCAGCAGCCCAGGAGACGAGATCCTGATAGAGAACAAATTGTCACCCAAGAGCATCATCCCACGGGGACATAGAAGGTCCATGTTAAAAATGGAGCAACAGGGAATGGCCGCACGTTTATCCACCACATCTTTCTGCTTGCCTTAGTCCGTGAGTGCAAGTCGTCTCATCATGTGACAAAGATGTGACAAGCTATCCATTTGGACGACAGGAATGGGGCCTGTTAGGAAGCCCACTTTCCCGGCCACACAAATAACATGACCCTGTCCACACCAACCGTCTAGTGGGTATCTTAGAAATGACATTCTAAATCTCAGGCCCCTAAAAATACTCATTTTAGTTCATGAACACCAGGGAAAAGAGGAATTAATGAAGACATACAGTCTCCCTTTAAATTTTTTTTTTAACCCCGCAAATTGGAGACCTCCAGCCTCTAGGTGTGGATCTCATCTTCTCCCACATTCCTCTTGCTCTCAACAGAATGGGCAGAAAGGAAAGTCGAGCTGAGCATTACCCAGCAAGGAAGGCAGTGCCCAGGACAAGAAGTGGGCAGGGCGACTCTGCTGCTGCCCCCGTGAGGACCCCCCATACCTGGCTCTTCAGAGGACATTGAGCAAAACACCTGCAGAGAGAAAATGAAGAGTCTGAAATTAGCACTTCGTTAGTGGGAGATGATTTCTTCTGAATGTGCAGAGAGTGATTTTCCTTCCAAAAGTCCAAAACAGTAGTCCAAAATGTGTTTAGCACAGTTTGGGATTTAGGAACTTTTTTTTTCTTCCTTGAGCAAAATCCATTGATTATTGGCAAGTCTTCCCAGGGACCGATCAGTTTTGTTTGATATTGGTTCCCAGAAGTGCTGAGGAAGCTCTCTGTGCCTTCCCCTGTGAACTACTGTGTTTACCTCTAGCCATTGCAACTATTTTATTCTAAGCAGGCCATCCCTGGTGAGAATACCAGATCGTTCTGAGGACTGACCCATAACTCGGTGGAACTGGGGACAACCATCTTTGTCCATTTCTTTCTATTCCTTTGCTGTTAACTAATGTTCACGATCATCATCTCCGCTTCCTCCTCACTCTTTCCTAAATTCTTTTGAAAAAAAAAAAAAAAGATATCTCAATACCTACAGTCTCCCTGCCTCTGCGGATATCAGGACGAACTTGGGAGCTCACCTTTGTCAGGGGACAGACTTGGAACCCAACCTAGGGTGCATCCAAACGAAACAGACATTAGTCATTCTGAGTCTCTGGAGAACCTGGGAGTCTTATTTTTGGACTCTCAAGGGCATCAACCTAAGGCAAAACTCTTCCAGGGTGTCTGAAATTGGAGACTGTCATGAATGGTTCCAGACTTGCTCATCTGTGGATCATTTTAACATGAAGACCTCAAATCAGCACATGGGGGTCCCTCCCAGCAGGAACACAGGAGGCACTTGGGGATTTTCCACCAGAGTGGTGATTACTGTGTGGGATTCCCAGCAGCTGTCCTGTCCAGGCCCCCTTCTGACCAGTGTCTGTGCCTCAAAAGGGCAGTGAGCTAGCCTGAGGGCCAGGGGAGCCCAGAAACAGTGCTCTGCAGGCACCTTCCGCAGCCCCAGCTCATGCTATGGGAGGAGCCATCTTTTGGATCCCAAGGTCCATGCACGAAGTACTGGCAAGGATCCAAAGGTTTCTTCCTCAGCTGAATGCAAGATGGAAAGTGCCTCTTGTGAAAGTCTCACCCAATAAGCACACATTGAGCACCCGCTGTATGCAAGACACCTGCTCAGACCGGAGAAGAGAGCAAGATCAGCTCTACCTTGGGGGAAGCTATCTATTTAGCTTTCGGGGCAAAAGTAAGATCAATTTGAGTAAGAAGACTCTAGAGGGAAGAAAATAGCAAGAAAGAATCACTTTTCTATCATGAGTGGTCAGAGATCTGAGAAAGCAGGGCTGCACCTATATTTAGTGGTTGATCCTTCGGAGAGGCTTGGGAAAAGCCAGTTGTAATTAGAGATAGTTTTTCTATTACTTAAATTGAACAACTAATTGAATTCTTAATTAATGGCTTTAAACCACCTTGGGATAGAAAGTGCCCGAGAGTTATCCTGAGTGCTAAATATGACTGTGAAGTCCCAGGGAGCAGCGGGCTCCTCTGTTGACTCTGGAACCTGAAGGAGGGCTCATGCTGGGAGTAAAACGTCATTTTAAACTCAACTGGTGACACGTTTAGAGTAGCTTCCTCTCCTTGGTTTTCCCCCAAGGTTTTTCCCTTGGCCTCTGTTAGAACATTCATCTTTGATTTAATATCACCCTGAATCAAGCCCTGGGACATTTACGATCCGGGATGGGGAAAACACTTGTTTGGGAAAAATAATAAAGTTGCCCAGTTCTGGTCCCATCTGTAAAATATCTAGATGATCAAGCACAGGCCACAAGCAATAACGAAACTTCCCTTTTAGGAGTGCATTTTTATCTTGAAAGCCTTTGAAGTCATGAAAGAGCAGATAAACCACATGAGCGGCAGCCGAGTCAACTGTAGCTCTGCACAATGTCCACTGCATGACCGTGACCTGAGTCTGGGCCCCGCTGAAGATGGAACAGGATGCAGCAGGTCTTGGGCCCACGTTTCTGTTCCAAGATCTTTTTCTGTCCTTGTCTCGTCTTCAAAGCAAATCCAAAGGAAAACCCTTACTGACAGAGCCCTTGGATAATAGACCAAAGATGGGCCCATCAAGATGCAGCATGGAGCCACAGATGAAGGAGGCATCATCCTCTTAAATTCCTGGGAAGTCCTCGGAAGCTTGCTTGGAAGGTCTTGATATTCTGAAAGAGTCAGGAGAATTTTATGAGGTCATTATCTGGCTGGGTGATGTCTCTTAGATCCAAGCGGAGAGTATTTCACATCTGGGAAAATTTTTAGATGTCTCTCTTTCATTACACAGATGTTCACATCTGCGAACCCTTCCTTTATGTGGAATTGTTTCCATTCCCCTGGATAAATTTCTTGGCTTGCCCTACAAATGAATCTGCACCAGCCTAAGCCAACTAGTGACAGATGTAAACTCACGAGAGGCCACTATTTTTTATTTTTCCCACTTTATATTCCTGTTTGGAAACATTTATTAGTATTGATGTGAATGAACTCAGAGACTATGTCTAGATAAAATTAATTTATTCGTGTTAGCAGTAGGAAGGCCATGTGATATGGGATAAAATCATTTCGAGACATATGTATATATAAAATAGAAAAAACGGGAGAGCTAAATCTCAAAGAAAATTTTGTAGATTTCATTTTATAATGCATTTTTTTCTGATATTCTATCTGTTCTTAGTTAAGTTGGGAAGCATAATGAGGTTTAAATTTGCAAGTTTAGAACATACAGGTTGTAGAGTCGTCCCTCAGAATCTATGGAGCATTGATTCCAAGACCTCCCCAAAGATACTCAATCCAAAGATGACCAAGTCCCTTGTAGAAAATGACCTAGTATTTGCGTACCACCTTTATACATATCCACTTTATACTGAAAGTCACCTGTATAAATACTTGTGTGCTGTATTGTTTAGGAAATGACAAGAAGGAAATGTATACATCAGCAATACACACACAACTCTTTTTTTTTTTTTCAAATATTTTCCATCTACAGATGGTTGAATCGGCAGATCCGGAACCCTTGGTTATGGAGGGCTAACTGTAACCCATCACATTTTAAGAAGTAAAGAGAATGCAGACTCTTGGCTCTAGGGATCCTCAATCCTGTCTGCAGAAACATGTGGAACTTTTGAGTGTATCCATACCTGGGCTTCACCCCCAGAGTTTCTGAATGAGCTGGTTTGAGAGGGGCCCAGGCAGCCATGCTAAAGTTACCAGGGAAACCAGGTGCACAGTGAATCTGAGAATTCCCCGTGTGTACCAAGTCGGCCTTTCTCATATTTAACAAGGATCTTGTCCCCAACCAGCAAACTCCACCTAAAGACAGAAGAATCTTTCTGGCCCAAAGACCCATCAGTTTTCCACAATCCCCCTGAGAGTGGGGGTTGGAGGATCCCAGGGACGCTAAGTGGTGTCTCCCAGAGGACCCTGGGCACGCAGTTGTGGACATGAGCCTAGAAGCATCCCCTCTCTTTCCTGGGAGACCCCAGACTTGGAGTCTGGAGATGTGGGTAGTATCCCTGCTTCATTCTTTCCACTGTGGGAATGACCTTCATTAATTAATAGATCCTTTCTGGGCCTCAATTTCTAAAATGAGGGCTGTAATACTTTTCCAGACTTGTGAGAATAAATCACAAGACACATGGGAACAGATTTTGTTGCCTGCGCAATGCTACAGAATTAGCAAGTTTGTCGTGGACACTATGTGTGTACGTCTGGGATGACCCTATGTATTAGCCAGGTTTCCATTACTATAACAAAATACCTGAAATAAGCAATTCAAAAAGATAAGCCAAGTATGAGTTTGAGGGCAGAAGCTCTTGAATGGCCAGTGCCAGGACAGGGCAGGGGTGTCTGTGCATCCAAGACACCACTAATCTCCCCAGGACCATCCATATCAAGAGCATCCTCTGACTATGAGCTCACCCTTCCCACAGCAGCCAGGGGGAGCATCCAGACCCTTGCTGCAGAATGAAGCTGTTCCTCGTGTTGCCGAAGGTCTTTCCCAACACAAAAAGTGCAGGGTTATGGGGCAGCGGGTGAGCAGGGCGCAGTGGTTACCAGCAGGACTCACTCCCAGCTGCTTCTAGTAAGCTGTTTGGCTTTGAGCAAGTGCCTCGGTTTCCTCATCTGTGCCATGGGGATAACAGGAGTACCTATCTCATTAGGATTTTGTGTGGATGAAATGCGTGAAGCCACACACACACAGCCCCAGGAAGCGACTGTAAGTTTATGGTAAGTGCCAGGTGGGATTTGACAGCTGTCACCAGACAAGGCTAACTGTGTGTCCCCTCTCCCCACCCGCTGCACAGTGCCTAGCCCCTCCTGTAATGGCTTTGACAACGCCCTGTCAAGACCTTGCCGTGTGTCACTAGGGAAGGAGGTCTGCTTCATCGCCACTGTCCGCCTGGCAACACCGCAGTTCTTAAAGGCAAGTCCCCCGCAGAGAGGTCACTGTGTGGAAATCGTTTCCATTGAGTCTCGTCTGGTTATATCTCATTCGTTATCTTTATGGGAGAGAATCAAATTGCCATGGAGTCACCACATTCTAAATTTGTAGATGCTGCTTTGAAACATCTACCAGTTTAGAATGTCTAGCCTCTGCCCCTGCCACCCTAGCCCTGTCCCAGGCCCTCCCTGGGGTTCCTGCCAGGTATTTTGTTTGAAGGCAGCGTCACTTGCCATTCAGCCCACAAAGATGCTGCCCGATGGCCCCGCCCACATCCCCATCTTCCTGGTCACCATGAACACCGCCCAGGGCAGGCAGGGGAGAGAGTGGAGAGTCACAAAATTGAGGGCTTTTTCTGTATTCTCTCATCAAAGATTGGTAGCACTCTCTGGAACGAATGTTGAGCTAAATTAGTAACTCAAATTCAGATGCAAAGCCATTTCCCACATGTTTACCACACTTCCAGATAATAGGAAGGGAGTGGTGTGACATTTTGGCTCCTAGGTATTTTTCCCCAGCTTGTGAAATAAATTTAGTATCAGCTAATACCGAAATTAGCTACAGATGACGAGTTTCAGTCCAACCCGACTTGGAGGCTGGCTTGTGAGGATCTGAACTTCTGTTACCCATCATGCATTTCTTTGCAGCAAACCTAGGGTGAACATCTGGCACCCCAGCAACATTCTTTTCTTTTCTTCCCCCCACCCCTCTTCCAATACAGGAAATGTGCATAGTTGATGAACCTTTGGAGGAATTCACTTCAAGGCATAGCTTGGAATGGAAATTTTTATTTCTGGATCACAGGTTTGTGAAGAGGGAAACGTATTTGGATTGGGTCCTTTTCAAGTGGTGTTCACATGAGCCAGGTTCTCCTTGGGAGACAGAAGTCCAGCCTGATCCTTTGAAGAAAGACTCACTGGCTACAGGAAACGTGGTTCCCAGCCAAGGGAAGGGCTTCCCCTTCTGTACCTGCTTCCCCTTCACGCAGAGGTTGAAGCCTCAACCCTGGGGCACCTGTGGGATGACCCCCTTCCTGCTTCCAGAAAGACAAGCAGATGTGCAATGAACCCTCTCCTCTGATCACTTCCAACACCCCTTTGATCCTTGAGTCCAATTTTTCTTCTTTCCTTTGTAACATCATTCACTGTTTCAGAACAAGAAATCTCGCTTCCCTGCCCTTTCGTTTTTCATTATACAATGGAGCTGGCCCCATCTATAGCTGTTTTTAATTAGTCAATAGCTGATGCATTTAATGATTATTTGGGCCAGAGGATGCCAAGGAAATGGAGTGTCTAAATACCAAAATAACTTTGCAAAACTGGTGCTGACCAGTGCAATGCTATTTTCTTCCCCTGGTTCTTGAGAAACGAGGCCCCTGTGGATATTAAATGTGCAAACTGTACCCTGTGTGTTGAATTGCTGGTGTTGGCTGGCATGGTCCGTGTGGTGTCCTTCTGATGGGGAATTCCCTGTGCCCTCCTGCAGAGCCCCTCCCATCATAGGATACCTGCCCTTTGAAGTGCTGGGCACCTCAGGCTATGATTACTACCACATCGACGACCTGGAGCTCCTGGCCAGGTGCCACCAACACTGTGAGTACCCTCACCCAGACTGACCACAGGAGCGTCGTACTTGATCCATGGTGACCGGACAGCAGGGCTCTGTAGTCTGCTTGTCACCTGGCTCCCTGGAAGCCAGGGACTTGGTTTCCTCTGCAGTGATCTAGGGGTATGGAGGAAGTCGTTGTCGACATTGATGTCGTGTTTCAACTCGGAATTGACTTTGCCCCAATCCCTAGCACTTCCCAGCACCATTCAGATAGGCATGCTCCTTCATCCAAATCGTGAAATTAAGGCAATGGCAGAATTTATTTGTAAGTTAGCATTAAGTGTCAGAGACGTAACACTGAATCCACCTAGATGGATTAGTCTTTAGTCGGCAGTTGGTGGTATTGGTCTCCAACTCCAGGCAATGCTGACCTGTCCTCTTCAGATATCACCCTAAGTCAGCATCTCCTGGGGTGACTTGAGTTTTCTAGGTAAGAGCTGTCTTAACCATTTGCATTAAGAGATACTAATGCACATTTCAGCATCTTCTGCAGGGTGAAGTCTGCTGGAAAGCCAGGAATGGGCGACATTGTAGATTGTGAATGTTGCATAGCAGGGGATATGCACAGGGCACTGAAGGCTCAGGGGGACCCCCCCTGCAGCTGGAGGAGGTCCAGGGATGGCTCTCTGCCATGGAAGAGGGGAATACGCTGGCACATACGTGTGGGGTAGGGCTCCTGATGTGGGAGAGCTAGACTCACAAGATTGATCAGTTCTCACTTCAAAAGAGGAATCAAGAATTAAGTACTCGAGGGCTGGGGTTGTAGCTCAGCGGTAGAGCGCTCACCTAGCACGTGCGAGGCCCTGGGTTCGATCCTCAGCACCACATAAAAATAAATAAATAAAATAAAGGTATTGTGTCCAACTACAACTGAAAAATAAATATTAAAAAAGAAAAGAGAATTAAACACTCAAGCCAGGTGTGGTGGTATACACCTATAATCCCAGTAACTAAGGTGGATAATGCAGGAGGATTTCAAGCTCGAAACCAGCCTCAGCCACTTTTTAAGAAGAGAAATGGTGGGGAGAAGGAATTATTATTTAAGGCTCATTTTTAATTTTTTTTTTGAACTGGGGATTGAACTCAGGGGCACTCGACCACTGAGCCACATCCCCAGCCCTTATTTTGTATTTTATTTAGAGACAGGGTCTCACTGAGTTGCTTAGCTCCTCGCCAAGGCTGAGGTTGGCTTTGAACTCGCCATCCTCCTGTTTCAGCCTCCTGAGCCGTTGGAATTACAAGCACGCACCACTGCGCCCAGCTTTTCATCTTTAAAAATTTAACCCCCCGCTCCTCAAAGTGTGGTCCCAGGACGAGCTACATGGCTAATGTGTGCTAGACATGTAGTGTCTCAGCCTCCTGCCACCCGGCCTGAAGAGTCACAATATCCACTTTCACAAGATCCCCAGATAATTTGTGCAAACATTCAAATTTGAGAAGCAGAGCTGCTTTAAACCTCTGACTGCTTCTGGCTCTTCTAACGGAGAAAAAGCCAAGGGAAGAGTTACCTACCTGGCCTGAGCAAGAGGTTCCTTCTCTGTGGAGCCCAAGGCCCCCCCTGCTGGCTTCTCTCCTATTCACCAAGTCAGTGGCTTCGTCTGTAGCTTTAGTTTCCTAGGTAAGATTCTTCTTAACTGTTTGTATTAAGAGATGCTAAATTCCAGGCCCTGTGGCAATAAAACCGAAATTGTTCTTCTTCCTCTGGTCCACATCCCTTTCTTCTACCTGGCACAGATGATAAACCACCAGCATCCATTGTGTTCTGGACACTCCCAAAGGGACCTCCTACAAACATGACCATAAGGGGCTCCAGGCATCTCTGTGGCTGCAGGGGACGGCCTGGGGTGGAGACACCCATACCAGACCCTCTTTATTCTAGAACTGTGTAGACTCAGTCTGAATTGCTGTCTGGCAGCCACAGAATCCATCCAGCAGTTGCTGGCCGTCAGGTCTAGTTTTGGTCCAGGGCTCTCGGGGTCTGGATGCTCCCTCCTCCGCTCGGCTCCAAAACCAGCTCCACCTGCAACAGGAAGATGAGCCCCAAGAAAACCAGGGCCTCCTTTTAATTAAACTTCCAGTTTAACAATCTGTCCACCTCTGCCCTTATTTGAAAATCTCTCTCAAGCTTTTGAGCATGTGGAAAAAATACACGGATCACTCTTCTATTATTTAAGATTGCCTGAGAGTTAGCAGGAGGCGTGACCCAGTGGTAGAACCCTTGCCCATCATGTGCAAGGCCCTGGATATGATCCAGGCACCCTGGGGGGAAAAATAGTATCAGAGTCTACCATTGTCCTGAGAGTCACTTATTGTACGGTGCAGCCAGGGAAATAGGCAATGCCGGGTACGGTCTTTTGTAATGTGGATTTTCGTTGTAACTCCTGGGGGAAAGATTGCTTTCACGTTAATGTGTGTTACATGCAGAATCCGTTTTCTACTCCCAGTGATGCAGTTTGGCAAAGGGAAATCGTGCTGCTACCGGTTTCTGACCAAAGGTCAGCAGTGGATTTGGCTGCAGACCCACTACTACATCACCTACCACCAGTGGAATTCCAAACCCGAATTCATCGTGTGCACGCACTCGGTGGTCAGGTACTATGCGGTGGCGGGTCTGGGCTTGTCCCTTCAGTGCCTGGGAAGGGTGCCCGGGGTCCGTGATGACTGGTGCAGATCAGCAGCCCCTCAGGGCCTCCACTGTGTCTGAGGGTCAAGGTGGCTGTCACTTGCAGTGAACAGGACAAGTCCCAGAGCTTAGCACCTCCCAGGTAGCCTCGCCGCTGTCACCTCCCATGACTGAGACTTCTGAGTTTCCTCCAGGCCCCTGTGCAAGCCTCATGAACTCTTTTAGGCTGCCAGGATATTACTTAGTAAGTTCCTGCTTCACTGACCTACTTACATATTTTCCCCTCGTCTCTCTCCATCCCCCAGCCTTCCCGTGTCACTGATTTGAGAAGAAAATTAAAACGTTGCCTCTAAATAACTCAAACACATACTCCCTTTATTTTTAATGTTCTAGAAACCCCTGCTGGCAACCGAGGCAGTGTTCAGAGAGCAGCCAGGCTGACTGTGGGAGAAAGTCCCCTGCGGGTGTCTGGTGACCTCAGGGAGCCCTCAACCCAGGGCACCAAAAAAGACAACCCCCCCCCCCCGCCTTATTGCAGATGCATCCTGGGTGGGGTCCCAACTCCCAGGGGTGGATAAGGGAAGTCTCCTTCCCGCCACGCACTCCAGAAATGTTAGGAACATAAATCAGTTTTAAGCTGGTTTAGAAAAGAAGCTTTTGAGAAAAAAGAAAGAAAGAAAGGGTAGAAGGACTGTATGTCATATAGTCACCTCTCCATATCCACTGGACCCTACGTCCATAGATTTAACCAACCACAGATTGAAACTCTTCCAAAAATAATCAATCCATACTGAAATGTAGAATTCTCCTCTTCTTAACAGTCCCTAATCGTGACAGTAAGCCAACTGTATACATAGTGTTTGCATTGCATTAGAAATTGTCAGTAACCCAGAGATGCTTTAAAACACAGCCGGAGGATACGTGTAAGTTATATGCACATTATGTCATTTTTTAGAAGGTACTAGAATGTCTGTGGATTCTAGTATGCACAGGTGGTCTTGGAACCAATTCCCTTGGCTATGGAGGGACCACCATAAATAGAAATAATAATAGATAAAGGCAAACAGATGTGGCCACCTCTCCTTTTGCGTGCGTATACTGAGCAGCAGTTATACAGTACACAGAGAGAGAAACGCTAGCTTTTCTCCCTCCCATTTCACCCCATTTTATGCTCATGCTTAGAGAATCGTTCTTGGATTCCCTGTCCACCCTTGGAGACTTTAGCAGCCAGGGGTTTGTGACTCCTTGGCCAGAACCCCACTGCCACTGAGCCTGGGTCTGTCTCCAAGGGCTCAGGGTAGGCTGGACATCACCCACGCCTTGTTCTTCAGAGTGGGCTCGGCTTCTCCATCTTTAGTCTCCCAAATCTTAGGAACGTTCAGAGACCATAAGGAGTGAAGTGAATAAGTGGATAAATAAGACGAGAAGCATCCCGTTGACCAAGGCTGGCGTCTCGTCCCAGGGCCCTCCCGGGCCTGCAGGAGGGAATAACCCAAGTGGGGTCACTCGGGCATCACTACATTGACCCAGTTTACCTGTGAAATTGAAAAAGAGCGTCCCTAGATGGGCCTTTAGTGGCCTGGGGTCTGAGTCTGGCTAATTCTGTATTTGTGTGAGAGAAAACTTCTTTTTTTTTTTTAAGAAGTGTAATGACCAGAAAAGTTTCCTGTCACCCTTCTGTAGCCACAGTCCAGACTGAACAGATTTTGAAAACAGCTTTTCATCACTTAAAGGCAAAGGCTCGCCCCACGGATGAAAATGTCTTTTTAAAGACAGTTGCATTTGAAGATTTCCTGGGGGGAGAGAATAGTGAAGGAGAAAGTCATAAAAGCACCCTGCATTGGGGACGTCATATCCGAGTCCCTCAAGTGGAAACTAGACAGGGAGTGAAACTCAGTCCTTCCCAGGGGAACAGACGGGGTCCTGGGTGCTGCCCCTGCTGGGCATGGGTGGCAGGGACAGAACCCCGGTTTGGGAGTTGTCATTGGAATGTTCTGCCTCCACTGTGTCTCTCGCTTTCCTGAGCAGTTATGCGGATGTCCGGGTGGAAAGGAGGCAGGAGCTGGCTTTGGAAGACCCGCCCCCCGAGGCCTTGCACCCCTCCGCCATGAAGGTAAGCACATCCTGCCAGGTGGGTGAGGTGAACATGGGCTAGGCAGAGGCTACTAAAACAGTAATGAGAAGAACAGAGCCACTCGTATTTATGGAACCTTGCTACACTCCCATGGTGTTCAAAGTGTCTTTAGGCATGTTCTTATCCCTCCCCCCCACCCGCACTCCCCGTGGCAGTCCTGAGAGGGCATGTTGTTATTGTCCTCATTCTCCAGATGATGCATGGACAGCCACCTACCCCAGGACACCCGAAGGTTGTCACTCACAAAGCTGGGTTAGAAGCAGCCACTGGACATAAGGTACGGCTGGCGGCTTCTCATCGTCCCCAGATGGCTATAATAAGCCCTCTTTGCATTTATCCCACAGATAAAAAGCTGGGGAGTAAAACCATCATTCCATCAGGGTGTGGAATAATTCAAGGCCACTGTCGCTAACTTAGCCTAAGTGCTGTTGTGTTGCCACCGGGCCTCGGGGTGCCTGTGGATGGGCTGACCCTCACACACTTCCATGTCATTCATGCTTTTGTTTTTCTTTGGGACACTGGGGATCGAACCCAGGGCCTCACGCATGCAAAGCACACACTCTACCACTGAGCTGCAGCCCCAGCCCCTCTCGCAGGCTTCTGTTTCTGTGCCTGGGGGTTTAGTCAATATCCACGGAGGCCCCAGCTCTGCACAGGGAGCTCTGCTCTGAAAAAGGCATTTCCTTCCACGAAGCCCATTACCTTTCTTCTTCCCCCGCCCTGAGCTCTCTGGTCCCCTCTTGAACAATGCAGAGGGACATGGAGATTGTCTGCAAGTAGACCAGAGCCCTGTTCCTCAAAGCAGGCACAAACATTGGAAGAGAAAGAAAGAGGGAGTGAAGCACATCATCAACGCTAAGGCACCGTCCACTGGAAGAGCCACCTTTTTTTTTTTTTTTAAATGTCCAGCTAAGAAAGAGAAAATGCTCCGAGACTGTTTGTGAAATAATGATTTCTTTTCATCAGTTGAAGGATACACCCAATTTCAGCTGTGTTAAAACGAGGGTGCGGGGTGCCTCTTAGAGTTGATGAAGTTCAGCTCTGGGCGTCCGGTGACCCTGGGACCAGTGGCTCTGCAGCAGCCAGGGCTCAGTCCTTCAGCTACTGTAATCCAACAGAAGTATCCCTCCTCCCTGGAGGACCGAATCAGGAGGAAAGAGAAATCACCTTAGAGATCAAAGAGCAGGTGGGGTCTCTGGTGCCCACCCCCCCCACCCTACCAGCGTGCCACATGGTGGTGCATGCTGTGTGATTCCTCACCCGCACACCAGTGTTTATGGAAGTCTTTGTCACCCAGCTCTGTCACATAACACATCATGTATCATGTCAGGGAACTAAGCCATTGATAGGCAGGTGTTGGACACATCGTACATCCCAGCCCAAGAGCAGGTGTGATGCGTGTGTATCATCCGGGTGGAAGTTTGTCTCCGGATTCCTCTGGGAATCCTAAGCCCAGCACGATGTCTTCTCTTAGCAATGCACATGATGTATGAACACACAAATATGATCTTGAATGCTGAGCTAAGAAACCCCTTTGAAAGGTGCTTCTCAAACTCTTCGATACACCTTTTTTTTTTTTCCTTTTCCCCAAATCTGCCCTTGACTGACACATATGTAAAAATGTAAGTTCCTGTGCTTGGGTGGGTGGCGTGGCGAGGGCCATGGCCGTGAACGACAGAGTGAGGGTGCTCCCTCTCTCTCCCTGGGCTCATTTCGCTGCTGAGCAGAAACACACAGTTCACATCCAGCTGGGGTCTGGGGACCCTCAGTGGAGCCTTGCAGGGGACCCTATCACTGAGCAGCACAGCCTTACAATCTCTGTCTCCCATACACACTCCACATCCTGTACCTTCTGTTCTGCACAAAGGCCTGTGGGTTGCATATCAACCCATCCAGCCCTCCTTGCAAGCACACATGTGTGCACACACACACACACACACACACACACAATGTGCATTCTCACCGGAACCATGACTCAAAAGACAGAACAGCCACCTGGACCCACACACGAGATTTTTATGGGCAAGAGTGTGGGTACAGGCCAGCCTGTTGACTTGGCTCAGAGGGGGCTGGTGATTCCCATCTTTCTATGACCAGGGAGGAACAGGAATCATTCACTGTTTTCTTCTTTAGCTTAAAAATTACAATAACCCCTGTTTTCATGTATCTATGACACCTAAGCCATCGAGGGTGGGGAGTTGGTCCCTCAGAGAGTTGGACACTACAGTTGTTTTCTCCTCATGACGTTTGAGGCAGAGGCATCCTGAGAGCCAGGATCAGTTAAGGGGCAGAAGCCGAAAGACAGGAGACCTCAGGCCCTTTGCCTGTTCTCTCTGCTCCAAGGTCACTGAGGCTGGAGGAGCTGCTCGTGAGTGGCAGCATGGGCTGTACCCTGGAAAGGTCCAAAGGCACTTATCATTCACTGTGTTAACAATCTAGTGCTGACAGCAACCTTGTTTCTAGAATCTGCTTCTAGAAACACAAAATTTGGGGTGCAAAGCATTTTCTAAAATGCAGAGTCAATTGGGAAAAATCTGAAAAATCAAAACAAAAGGTGAAAAAATGTAATCAATGCTGCTGACGGGCCCCACGCCTCTCGGTGATATCTAGATGACATCCGTGTGCCTCTGCTGACCCCAGTGTTGTCCCAGGCAGCTATGGGACTCAAGAGCTCCCGTGTTGTCCCACATATTCAGAACTGAGGACATCGTCCCTTGCCATCTCCCCCGTGTTGAACGGGGACTTTGTGCGTGTGTTTCAGGACAAGGGCTCCAGCCATGACCCCCAGCAGCACTTTAACCCTCTCGACGTGGGCGCCGCGGGCCTGAATGCCAGTCCCTCGCCATCAGTGTCCTCAAGGAGCTCCCACAAGTCCTCGCACACAGCCATGTCCGAACCCGCCTGTGAGTGACAGTCTGTGGGTGGGCAGAGCCCCACCGAGGGTCCCTAGCCTGGTTGACCCAGGGCAGTCCGTGCCTCCTTGCAAGCAGAAGGTGCCCTGCGGTGGACACTCCCTGGGCTTCTTTGCCCTGTCCCCTGTCCACACTCTGGTGTCTCCACTGCAGCACCAAGCAAAGACAAAGCAGGGGACATGCCCATCCGTCCCCTGGTTGTCCCCTGGTTACCGTTAGTGCCTCTGGTGAGGGATTGGATCCCGCAGCCGCTGGGCCCAGTGCTGGGAATGCAGTCGGGGTTCCTGTGGTGTCTTCCACCCGCCCCAGGTCGGGCTTTGGTGGCTTGGCTGAACCACCTTACCGTGGCAGGCTCCTTTGTCAGAGGCTCCAGCCGAGCTCTGTGCCGTGCACCCTGTGGTCACTGTTCCCCTCTGTGGCTAAGGACGCTGCTGAGTGTCTGTGGGTCGGGGAGGTAACGCCTTGCTCTCTTCCAGCCACTCCGACCAAGCTGATGGCAGAGGCCAGCACCACCGCTTTGCCAAGATCAGCCACGCTACCCCAAGAGCTGCTGGTGCCCGGGCTGGGCCAGGCAGCCACGATGCCGGTACGTGTGAGACCCCAGACGTCTCAACAGGGGCACGCTACCATGTGGCGGGGCTGCAGAGCCACAGGCTGAATTTCCCCAGGGAATCAGTTTTACTTAGAGATGGAGAGTATGGGGTGGCGGGTGGGGGTACAAAGTGACGTCATTTAAACGTGAACCATTTTTATAACAAAAGTAACATGGATGTCGATCAATAGGATACAAAATCCAAGTGGATTTTTAAAGATCCAACTCAAAACTTCAAACCTAAAATCACACCCCATTCCTGGGAGGGTGTGTGGTAGGACCCTCCCATTTTGAATCACGCTTCACGCTGGTGACGATATTGGAGAAGCCTGTTGTGACTAAAACCAGGCCTTTCCAGAAGGCCAGGGAATGAATGGCCTCTTAGAAAGCACACCAGCCACATGCAAAGTCATCAGCACACAATATTCCGGCCAGCAATTGCCATCTAGCAAACCACACCTAGCTTCATGGCATAAGGGGTCAGGAATTCAAAAAGGGCGTGATGGGGTGGCTCTTCTCTGCCCCCGGGGTGTTGGGGGTCTCACCAGCTAGCCTAGCGGATTCTCATCCTAGACGGTCCTCACACTGGGCAGTCTGGCCCTCGGCCTGGGGTGGCTGAAGGCTGGGCTCAGCTGTGATCCTCCAACCTTGATGCTTCGGTCTCTCCTCACCTGGGGCTTCCCCCAACATGGTGGCTGGATTCCAAGAGGCAGCATCTAGAGATCCATACAGATGCTACACAGCCACCTGACCTTACCTTGGAAGTCACCCAGTGACCTTCCTCCTGACCCAAACGGTCACAGCTCCCATCTTCAGCTCACTCATACAGAGGGACATATGACTCCTACTCCTGTATGGGAAAAGTGTCCAGGGACTTCAGGGGCCACATCCGGGTAGCTGCCGGATGGATACCTTCTGCCCGTCCCTCACTGGCTTTGGAGATGGAGTCACTGTGCCATCTTCCTTGACATTCTTCCTGAGCAGCGTGGCTGAGGCTTACTCTCAACATGGGGCTTGACCAAGACCACTTCCTGTCCCTCCAGCACCCTCTGGGCACTAGGAAGCTGCCACTGCTGTTCTTCCAGAGTGTGAGCTGCCCAGGACACCACTGATGGCACCTCAGTGTGCCTATGCTCCCCCTCAGCTGAGTAGAGGGACAGAGTCAGGGGAACCCAAGCCAGCATCCTGGGATCCCATGGGACCCAGACTCAAAGCAAGGCCTCCTGCTGTCACTGCCCCCAGCTGCCGTCCTGGGCAATGGTTCGATTTGGGCTTCTTTTTATAGTCCCCAGTTTGGGGATGATTTCAGAAGAGCCCTTTTTACTTTTCTTTTAAAAACCACGCCAGTCCATAGAATGGGGATTTGCATTTCTCATTTCTCCGTGTCCCTGGGTGATTGGGGACCAAGGATGTGACTCAGTCCACCTCCTGGGAGTCTCTAAAGATTCCAGGTGGCCGGTGAGACCGCCCCCATCTTCATCACCTGGATGAGGTCCTGCATACAGACACGCACAGTGTGTCTGCCCGGCTGTGCTCATGTTGAACAGAAAGAAAGAGGGCGTCGCAGGAAGCCACCCCTGGTTAAAGTCTACCCCCAGGGCCACTGAGACTGCTGAGAAGGGACCACCTGGGGAGAAGGCAGCCCAGCCCAGGATGAGGTCTAAACAGGGGTAGGTGACAATGGCCTTGCTGAACACGCCCAGATGAGCCGTCATGGACTCAGAGTGCTCCAGGGTCACCTGCACCCTGCACCAGCTGGGAGTTGGCCCAAGTGACATGCCCTGTATGGGAAACAGCGTGACCAGGGGACAGACACCCATACTTTCTAGAAGCCCTCACTTCCTGCTATTCACCTAGGGCCGGCAGATCCTTTAAGTTGGAGAACCCAACCAACCAAGGGACTGTCCCCTGGAACAGCCCAGAAGCAGTGTCCGTGAACAAATCCCTTTTCTCTTAACAGGCTCCTCTGCCTTCCCCACCGTCCTGTGACCTCACGCAGCAGCTTCTGCCTCAGACCATTCTGCAGAGCCCACCTGCTCCCATGGCACAGGTAAATCTGGTGCTTGGAACAGGGCAGAACGCCTTCCAGACAGACCGTGTGATGGTGTGGGTGTGTTGGTGTTGGTGTCTGTCACACATGGGCACCAGCCAAGGCCTGAAAATGTGCTTCCCGAGGTGCGCGTGGGGGTGTGTGGAGCTAGACGCTTCATCATCTGCCGTTCTTGTCCTCTCCACAGACGTTCTCCAATTCTCTGTCCCCGGGTCTGTTTTTCATCCTTGTAACCATCTTTGTTAATCTCTCCTCTGTCTCTCTCTCTCTCTCTCTCTCTTTATTTTATACTAGGAATTGAACCCAAGGGTGCTTTGCCACTGAGCTATATCCCCAGTCCTTTTTATTTTATTTTATTTTTTATTCTGAGACAGGATTTTGCTAAGTTGTTAAGGCTGGCCTCGAATTTGCAATCCTCCTACCTTGGCCTCCTGAGTTGCTGGTGCATTTCTTTCATTTTTTTTTTTTTATGACTCCAAATTGGCTATATTCTAGGAAAGGACTGGATTAGGCCAAATGTCATAGGAAGACTTTGAAAGGATCTAAAGCATGTGGGTTCTAGTACTCTAGCCTAACATTTTTTTTAAAAGTAATTATGAGTGATTCCTTCCTGATTTCAACAGCATTCAGCCAGTTATTATCTGGGTCAGTCTGTAATCAAGGTATTAGGGACACAGAGATAACTGTAACACAGCCCTTGCTTTTAGTACTATAAAGAAGGTGGCATACGTATAAATGGAGAAACCACCCAGGCCGGGCAGGTTATTTTAAAAAGTCAGTAAGAAAAGTGTCTGCTTAGGAAAGTCTGAGCTGGCTTCCTGGGGGATGTGACATTCCAGTTAGCCCTGGAAAGATAACTAGGATATTGCCAGAGAATTAAGGGGCAGCAGAGAAGAGGGCCCCGTGCCTGTGCTTTGGTGGGGAGTCATGAAAGTGTCTGCCATGCTCGGGGCTGACCGCAGCAGGGACCGATCAGTGTGTGGTCGTGCAGAGAGTTGAGCCTCTGCTAAGCCCAGAGCTCTGACTTCAGTTCCTTTAAGGGCCACTTAGCTGCTCCAGTCCCTGGCCACAAGCTCAAGCCGGGTCCCAGGCAGCCGCTCGCCAACCCTTGAACTTGTCAGGGCGCGGCCTGGCCCGTGCTGGTGCGGACCTGTCACAGCTAAGGAAAACCATTCAGAACATATGTCCTTGCACAAGTGGCCGCTGGTGCTTTCCTGGAATAAGAAAGAGACACGTGAGCCTCCACTGCTGGCTGGCTGGCTGGCGGGCTTGAATAATGATGTAGAAGCTATTCATCCAGAGTCGACTGATTAAAATTTATTCTCTGGACAAAAAAGAGAATGATTTTTTTTTCCCTCTTCAATGTCCAAGACACATTTGGTATGAAATTAGTAACTTTTTCAATCTAAAGGCACATGAGATGAGAATTCCTTAAACTTCTGGCCCTTTCATGTCAAAGAACATCTGTATTTATAATATATATGTATGATTAGGTTCCTTGGGGAATTTATCTTTCATTTATTGAACTTCGCTTTACTTAATAGTGACTGCTTTTGGTCTGTTAGGAATACTGTACTTGATGATAACTAAATTCTTTAAGACGTTCTTGTTAATACAGTTCACCCTTGGCATTCACAGGAAATTTGTCCCAGGACCCCTGACAGATACCAAAATGCATGGACATTCAAGTCCCTCATATAACATGGCACAGTATCTGCATGTAACCTACACATGTCATTGTCATCGTATGCACTGTGAATCATCCCTAGACAACTCATGATCCTGATACAGTGTGAATGCTGTATAAACAGTGGTTATAACATATTGTTTAGGGAATAATAACAAGGCAAATTTTAGTCTGCACCTATTCAGCACATACATTTTTCGAGTATTTTCCGTCTGAGGCTGGTTGAATCTGCAGAGACAGAGGCCCGCTCTACTGTCTCTTTCCAAATCAGCTGAACATTTTCATACTCACCCCGGGGGGAATGATGAGATGCTATGATTTTTCTCTTTTTCCCTTCACTGATGACATCACTCTCAGGGAAGGGAGGGGGAAATTAAATCCAAAATTGGGGGAGTAGTCATCTGGACAACTGGTGGTTTCCCAAAAAGCCTCTTTTGCTTACCCTGTGTTTCTAAAATGTCTCTAAGTGAGAGGAGATCCTTTCATCACAAAGGCCGCAGCCGGGGCTGGGGTGTGGCTTAGTGGTGGAACATGTGCCTAGCATGCACGAGACCCTGGGTTTGACCCCCAGCACTGCAAAAAAAAAAAAAAAAAAAAAGCCACAGTCAAGAAGATATCAAGAGAGCAATGACTGGGAGTCTAGGGTAACAAACATTTCTTAGTGCCAGGTGCAGTGGCACACTCCTGTAATCCCAGCGGCTCAGGAGGCTGAGGCAGGAGGATCATTGGTTCAAAGCCAGCTTCAGCAAAAAGTGAGGTGCTAAGCAACTCAGTGAGACCCTGTCTCCAAATAAAATACAAAATAGGGCTGGGGATGTGGCTCAGTGGTCGAGTGACCTTGAATTCAATCCCCGGTAAACCCCCCACCCCGGAAAAAAAAAAAAAAAACATTTCTTAGCTTTAGCTCTGGCTCCCTACTCACTGTCCAGTCCCCTGGCCACTCCTGGTGCAAGCCAACTAAGCAACCAAGAGCCGGCTCTGCTAGAGGTAGAAGGGGTGGCCCTGAATGTCTCTCCTGTACAACCAACTGTAGAAGTTTTTGTGTCTTGTTTTAAAAATGAAATAGCAGATACAGTTTGCTTGCTTGCTCAATGGAATGTTCTTTCAAAATCCAGCTGAGGGCTTCAACACAGTGCTGGGGATTTTTTGCAAATGGCCTGGGCGTTTTTAAACTCACATAACAGCCAAACATTGTTTTAAGTGAAGTCCAATGTCAAGGGCACTCTGATTGAGGTGGGAGCTGGGGACAGGAGTGGAGAAAACCTTAGCCCCACTTTGCCACTCGGGTTCAGGGGGGCTGTCCTTGCCAAGCTGAGGAAGACTGCTGGGGACCCAAAACACCTTGGCCTTACCCCCACCCAGCCCTGTGACCTCAGCAAACACAACCCGGGTTTGTGGGGAAGCCGTGGAGTGTTCACAGGTCTGCCTGCCTGGCGGGGCAATGGCTGGGGCACGGGGGTCTCTGCAAACACCGCACCTGCCGTGATTCGTCATTGGCTCTATCTGTTATCATTTTGCTCATCTAAGACTCCGTCATTGCATCCTCTGGTACATTCAAAGGGCAGAGGAAAGAAAAGAGAGAGAGAGAGAGAGAGAGAGAGAGAGAAGGAAGCCTTGCACAGGGCCGGCTCCTGTATCCCAGATGCTGAGGCAGGGGGCGCCATTGAGCTCAGCCTGGGCAGCCAAGGGGAAGCCCATCTCCAAACAAAAAAGGAAGGGAGGGAGGAGGCAGGTCGGAGGGAAGGAGAGGGAGAGGGAACAGGAAAGGAAACCTGTGCCCAGCAAACTGATGGGCCTCAAGAAGTGGACGTTGCACCCAGAGAGCATCAACCCCTCCTCCCAACTTATGATCTCCTTCCAGGGCAGGACCCTGTGTGGGGACAGGTGACAGCAGGCAGAGCTCACCTGCAAGATTTTCCTAAAGGGCTTCAGGGGTCCGAGGGAAAGGAGAGGGGAATTTGCAAAGCACACACGAAGGCCTTGTATAGGGTCTCCCTCTGGCACTGTCATCTCGGGGCAAATTGCAGGTGACTGGTTCACTTGTGTAGCAGCTGGTGAGCATGGGGGATCAGATCTAGGGTAATGACGGGCCCAGAAATGCCAGCAAAGGTGTCACATACAGAGTACAGATGAGAGGAAAGGATTTCCGGGGGCCCCTGGATGCCGGGAAGGGTGGCCAAGGGATGGGAAAGGGACTCGACCTGTCTGCCAGGCCCAGGTAACTCTCTGATCCGGTTGTGTTTTTGACTCCACCTTGAAGTTCTCGGCCCAGTTCAGCATGTTCCAGACCATCAAGGACCAGCTGGAGCAGCGGACGAGGATCCTCCAGGCCAACATCCGGTGGCAGCAGGAAGAGCTTCACAAGATCCAGGAGCAGCTCTGCCTGGTCCAAGACTCCAACATCCAGGTGATGCCCCTGCCCAAGCCCGGCTCTGTCCTCCCTGCTCTGGGCACAGCCCTCAGCTTCCAGGTCAGGGCAGACAGGGCCCCACACGTCCCGTCTGCATGGCCTCCAGCAGATCCTCCTATGCTCATGGAGCCCATAGACATATCCACAGGCCACTTACAAGGAGAGATTCCACTTACCTGTCCCCGTCTCCAGGCCAAGCCTGAAATTCCCACAAGGTCCTCTCTCACTCTGCCAGGCACATTCTCCTCGCTGCCCACCCACATTTTCGTTCATGAGTCTGGCCTTCGAGCGCCTTCATGGATGCCTGCTTTGGTCCTGGGTTACTGCTCCCAGCACCCACTTCATAGCACCCAGCCCAGGCTGCCGGCAGAGGGAGAGGCACCTCCATCTGTTTCCCCTGAGCCGAGGGTGAACACAGGAATGGAGGGACACTTGGGAAGTCAGGCTGTCTGTACTCAGCCAGAGGGGGAGGCAGAGGGAGCCGGGGCTGGCACCTTCATGCCACCCCATTTGTTGCAAGCCCCTGGGGACACTCTGCACATTCTGATAGCAGCAGCCTGACCCCCAGCTATCGCTTTATGGAATCATTCTGAGAGTTATTTTGGAAGAAAAACTTTATGTATTGGATCTCTTTCAAAGACGGATGATGACGATGATGATTATTACCAAATTTTACTTCGTTTCAGGACTGTTTGTCCTCACAAGTGCATCATTGGGATCCAGCCATTAATTGCAAATGTATTTATAGCTAACCTTGGAGTTTGCTCTGGGAGCATTGAGAATTTGCAGCCCCTTTAGGAGAGAAGCAGAGAGAACAAAACACACACCTTAAAAATGGCTGCAGGATTGTCTCCGCTGTCCCCCCCCCAATCCCTGCCACTCAGATCCTCTCCTGGGCACCCAGCTCAGTTGCACCTTGACAGGCAGATGGAGGGCGGGGACACAGTGTGAGCCTCAGCATAGAGAGATGAACGCAGGGTGATGTGTCGGTGGGCGAGAAATGCCTCTTTTAGGCCATCGGCTTCTTACGGTGTTCAGCAGTTCTCCTGGGAAGGCACGGGGACCCAGGAGTGACCGTTGGACATTCCTCCCCTTCCTGCTCCTACCCAGGCTTGTCACCATAAATAACCCCAAACCAGGACAGCCACCACCCTATGCTGTCTGCCCAGCATCTGAGCATGTCTACAGGTGTCACCGACAGCCTGGGGCATACCCAGAGTCCTGCTGCTCCCTCCCCCACCGTACTGTCACCCCCACCTTGACTAGAGGAAGGAAGAGTTCCGTGGTTACATAGAAAAGAAATGGGGTCATCAAGCTGTCACATTAGTAAACAGCCACTTTGTGTTTATTCTTTCCCAACTGCAATATTTTTCTCACTGGTCCCAGGGCCTGATGGGTTGCTCCAAACTTGCCCAACTCCAGTGACTTTAGTGGAATTTTACATTAACGGAGTCGGGAAAATTGAACCAGAAACTGCTGAAAGCCACGTAGGCGTAGAAGCCTCCTCCTCAGTGTCTGGACTTTTCTGCTTCCTGCCTTTTCAATACTAAAGCTAGATTTTAAAATAACAGGCAACAAAGTTATCACTTTCACTCCCTGTGATGCAGAACTGGACTTTCCTCATGACGGGTGCTGTCTGCTAACCCCCTAAGTACACACGCCAAAGAGCACCCGAGTTCTAGGAGGGATGAGGTAGAAATCAAGCCTCGGGGGCCATCCTTCCTGCACTTGGTGCTTTGACCTTATCTTTGTAGTGGAATTTTCCAAAGAACATGGAAATCCACAGATAGCCAAACCAGAGAGAACATTTCCTCAAGCAGTCTGTCTTCTTGTTTTTTTTCCCCAAGATTTAAAGAAATATAATGCAAAATGCTTAACCAAAATATGACATTGTTTTTTTTAATTTAATTGTTAAAAAAAAAAAAGGACATAAAAATGACTCCACTTTCTACCCCACCCCAAACAAGAGAAGAATTAGATGAAATAAGATCAAAACATTGATCACCTTTGAAGCCTAATGATGACACATTATGATATGGGTTTCCACTGCACTTTTTCTCTATTGTTCGTACTTCTGAAATGTCTTGTAATGATGAGAATTCATTAAAAGTACTCAGATGAGAATACTGAAAGTTCACTTGTGAGTGTAGGATCTACTTATTCTTAGAAATTAGATTTTTTTTTTCCTGACAACTTTTTCTACTTTTAAGAATCCATCTTCTTGAGCCATAAAATTTGACTGTATTTTTGGTAGAATAGACATAGACGCCTGCAGCAGCAAACCAGGACCCCCACCCAGGGACCTTGGTCCCCACTTGCTCTTTCCCTATTTTAATTCATTGGCTGAGAATTTTCAATGAGACTGTGTGCTTACAATGCTTCCTAAGGATGATTTTTTTTAACTGGGTTATGAGAGAGAGGTCCCCTAAGGTTGCTGATGTTTGCACCTAGACGAGGTCATGCCGTGGGTCACGTGGGTCAGGCTGTTCTGCCGGAAGGTCCTGCCACCCTCCTCCCATCCATGGAGAGCTGCCTGTGGCTCATTTGGAAAGCACGTGCGCCCTCTGCTGGCTACTCAGATGAATGCTTAAAAAGACCACTAGCAATGGCAAAAGGCATTTGTTCCTTGGTTGGTTCTTTTCAGCCAGCCAGCCATCCATCCATCCATCCATCCATCCGTCCATCTGTCCATCCTTCCATCCATCATCCAACATACATCTATCCACCTGACACTCGTTACATACCAGGTACTTGATGGAGCTCTATGGGGACACAGAAATACAACAGGATTTCTACCTTCAGAGAGCATGTATGGATGATGGTTCAGAGTAGCACAGCAGTCTGTTATGTAACACTAACAGGAACAGCTTGAGCAAAAAGCTTCATTCATTGTTCATGTATTTTTCCATTTATTCATTTATTAGACAATCTTTAAATTGTCCAAGGAGCAAAAGACTCCTTTTCTTTCATTTTATATTGCTAACATTTACCTAACATTTACTCCACATTTACTGTGTCTTGGGTACTTTATATGCTTTGACTTTATATAGTCCCTTCTAAGGTAATGTGCTGTTGATTTCCCTGTTTATAATGAAGAAATCATGGCTTTTGAAAAGTTATGAAATGCTCATACTGTTAATAGTTGGTAGGGTGACAACCAGAACTCAAATATGTCTCTTTTAGGTTAGATTACAAAACCTATCATAAATAAAGCTTGCATTTATTCAAACTCTACTCAGAAGGTAGACCGTATCCTACCAGAAAAAAAAAAATATATGGGAATTAAACTTTTGTGGAGGTTTTTACTAAAGAGGTAAGAAACAAGGTACCCTGTGTGCTATAAAACAAGCCGTATACTAAAGTAACTGTTGCTGCAGAGATGCTCATCTTCAAACATGTGATCTGAGATGCTGGGGACCAGGAAATTCTTCTTAGATTCTAAAGTGGCAGAGAGGCCTCATTTTAAAACTACAGGCTTCTTGCCTGGGGAAGGAGCATAAGAGGAGATTGAGGGGGGTGGTCTCCCAATCTGTGGGTCCCATCTGTGAGTGAGATATTTGAGCAAATTGGTCTTTGGGGGCTCCTCCAAGCATCTACAGGGTGTGGCTCTACACCTGCCTTTCCAGACTCAGGAAGTATCAACACGTCAGTCTGTGCTGGGTGTGTGGTTGGATCAGCCTGATTGGAAGAGAACACACCAGATGCCGGGAGGAAGAGAAACCCCTCCTGAATACAGAATGTCGCCTGTCAAGAACTGTGGCATAGATAATGCCCGTTGATGTCCGCGATCCCCACGAGGGGCTTTTGTTAAAAGAGGTTGTTATAGGGTCTTTGGTTAAATTATTATTAAATCCGTTTTTCTTAAACATATAGAGTCAACTTACAGATCCTATGTTTCTTACAAACCTACTAAAAAGAACAATCCTCTCACTGTCTCTTTAGTTGATGTTCAACGAGTTTATAAGTTCAACAAGTCGTGAATAATCCGCAGTGTCTGCCAAAGCCATTAATTTACAAGTTTCATTTCTCAGAATCTCTCAATCATTTCACATATCTAACAAAGAAAAGTTAAAAACCTAAAAAGTAAAACCTTTCCAAGCACTTCAACTGTTTTCAACCAAATACGGCATCTTGGTGGGATTGGTTCCAAGACCCCCACAGATAACCCACATCCGCGGATGCTCCAGGGTCTCCTGTGAAATGGCGTGGTGCCTGCACACACCCTACGCCCCCCGTGGGCTCTCAATCCCCTCGAGACGACTTATAACGTGAATGCAGTGTACCCTTATATGTTGTTTTACTGTGTTGCTTAGGGAATTGAGACAAGGAAAACACCTGTGTGTGTTCAGTACAGACACAGGTTTTTTTTCCAAATATTTTCCATCTAAGGTAGGTTGGCTGTGCAGATATGGAGGGCCAACCATATACTGTACAAACTTTTTTAAATAGAGATTCTCACGAATACTTACGTTCTTTACAAACTTTGTCACGTTCCCTTTTTAATTAAAATGATCAGGCTCACGTATCACAGCCTATTAGATGTCTGACACGTCTGAGATGATCATGATGGCTATAGAACTGAACCCTGGTCTTAAAGCACATGGACACGCTATGGTATCATCCTCTCTGTGTTTACTGTCCTGCTTGGGAAGAGAGGGTCCCCTGCTTCCTGGGAGCAAATTTACCACCTCAGCTGAGGACACTGGGTTGAAGATTCCCAAGGGCAACATGGGTTACTGTCCCTGATCAGTTTGCAGAAATCCAAGGCCCAGCAAAAGGCCCCATCCTACTTGATAGGACCATGCTGGGGGTTAGCCAACCGTCTGCCACCACTTTATAGTGCTCATTTGATTCACAAAGTGTCCCCCTCTTCCGATAAGAAACTGATAAGCCAACTTAGAATATAGATAAGTGCTTCAAATTGCTTATGGAGCTTCTGGATCTAAACTTCTCTCACCCTGGTAGGTGTCAGTCACAGGACGGCAACCTTCGGGAGGGCAGGGACAGTGTCTCTCCAACTCAACCACGGTGTCCAGAGCGTTTCACACGCTAGAAGCATCCTAGGCACCTGCTGTCCATAAGCTGAGTTGACCATCTATTTCCTGCCAAAACAGGGACACCAAGAATCTGACCATCTACTGTGACAGGAGGAGGCACACTCTCTGGCCTCAACCTTACAGCTGTTTCTCTTCGGCTCCCAGATGTTCCTGCAGCAGCCGGCTGTCTCCCTGAGCTTTAGCAGTGCCCAGCGGCCCGAGGCTCAGCCGCAGCTGCAGCAGAGGCCGGCCACAGTGTCTCAGCCTCAGCTTGTGGCCAGCCAGCAACTTTCAGGACAGATGGCTTCAACCCAGGTCACCAACCAGCACCTGCTCAGAGAGTCGAGTGTGATATCCACCCAGGTAAATGTGCCCTGTCCACACTCTGTCTTTGACACATAGCAGACACTCTCACAGTCTAGGAGGTGCTTGATTCCTGCAGCCCACGAGGACTGCAAACCTCTGATCCAGATTATGGTGGTGGCTTTTCTTTTAAGTCATTTTGAATGTCCAATTTGTAGTCTTTTCCTATGCCCTTGCCCCTAAAGACATCACGCCGTTGAAACTTTCAGCTTTGAGACTGAATTAGCACTCACTGATGGCCACATGTCCTAAGCACTCGCTGATGGCTGGCCACGTGTCCCTCCACACCTGTCCTAGGTCCCCCCGCCCACTGCATTCAGCCCTATCCATGTGAGCAGCCACCGCTGCTAACTGTCCCAGCCCAGACCACCTGGCTCTTCCTGGTCACCTGAAGTCCCTGCCAAGCCCTGCCCTTGAGACCATTTCCACTCATTACCCACCACCAGTGACCTCACAATCTGACCGGGTCACTGGTGGATAAATGGCACTTCAATGGAATGGAACAAAGGGGACCTGAGCCCCTTCCATCACAGGTGGAAGGCAGGATCCTGCCTCTCCTGGGGCCTTCACATCTACACCAAGTGCTGAGTGCCCTGGTGAGCGTCCCTGAGCTCCTGTGGTCACAGGGGAGCAAAGACAGACTACAGAGTCCTTGTCTCCAGGGAGCCCCAGAATCTGGGAACTTAGCCAGGATATAGAGTACAATATGGAGAGGTACAGTCGTCCCTCAGTCTCTGCCAGGGATGGATTCAGGAACCCCCATGTGGATCCGAATCACGGATGCTCAAGTCCCTTATGTAAGATAGCAGCCCAGTATTCACGGAGCCTATGCACATCCGCCTTACGCAATTTTTTTTTTCCTGTTGGGGACTGAACCCAGGGCCTCGTGCATGCCAGGAAAGCCCTCTGCCCCCAGCCCCTATATACTTTAAGTCATCCCTGGATGACTTATAATATTTAATATTAGGTCGATGTTATGTAGTTTTGTATTATCTCGAGAATAAAGACAAGAAAGTAATCTGGACGTGCTCAGGGCAGATGCAACTTATTTGGAAAATTTTTGATAGGTGACTGACTTAGAGAGTTTAATCCATCCTTATCCAAATTTGTTTTTTGAAGATGCAGCCTTTTGATTCAAAGGGTCATCACATCAGGAAAACCAATGTGTGGACATAGCCAAGGGAATTGTAGAAAGGGGAAAGCTTAGGAAGGGCTTACACTATCCCATATTAAATGATTTTGTTAAAGCTCTAAAAATTATAAGCACCATGATATCACTGTATGAACGGACAGAGCACATCAATATGGGGATGGGAGGAGTGTTCCTCACAGATGGATCAGCATGTGCAAAGGCCCTGAGGCAGGAGTAGGACTGGTGAGTTGGAGAAACAGCAAGGAGTTCCGTGTGTCTGAGATGGAATTCCTGAAGCGATAAAGTATTGAGTCCAATGCACGTTTGTTACTTGTCTGCTAAAAAAAAACTTGGCACTGACCAAGACCCACAGGATTCCAAGAATCCCTGAGGCACTTGGAATCCAATGGGGAAGACAGCCACAAAAATCAAAATAGTTCAGTACGTAATTGGTGGGTCCTACATCAGAGGGATGGCCAGGGTTAGGTTGAAGGACGAGTCTGGGGAGGTTTCCTGGAAAGATGACCTGCGTCTAAGTGTTGTCCTTGCCAAAAAATGATACTCCAGGGCCCGAAGGCAATGCGGAGTTCCCAGGTGATGCAAGGCAGCAGCCGTCCAGTGAGCAGCCTGACGCCCCAGTTCAGCAGCCCAGCCGCTCCGGGCCTGAGCCTGACCGCACCCGCTGCCGCCTCCCAGGACGCCAGCCAGTGCCAGCCCAGCCCCGACTTCAGCCACGACAGGCAGCTCAGGTGCGAGGCCAGGCTTCATGCAATGCTCTCAGCCAAGGGAGCAGCTTGGGGTCCTTGGAGGTGACCCGCTGCCTTCTGGTCTGCTGAGAACAGTCGGGGGATCAGGGGCGAGGGTCAGCCATAGAAGATCCAGAGGCCCGCTGCCCTGGGCCGCCCCGTCGGGGCTGCAGCTGGTGCTGACTGACCTTCACCTTGTCTCTCTCTCTCTGCTCCAAGGCTGCTGCTGAGCCAGCCCATCCAGCCCATGATGCCTGGCTCCTGTGACGCCAGGCAACCCTCCGAGGTCAGCAGGACTGGACGGCAAGTCAAGTAGGTGGCCCTGGAGGAGGGAGGAGCAGAGAGCCCCCAGGCTGGGGGATGGGCCCAGGCTGGATTTACCTTTCTCTTTGAAACGATGCTCCTGGGTTTCACGGGCCGGCTGGCGGGGCTCACTGTGAACGTCCTACTAAAGACAGGCTCAAAGCGCGCCACTTTATGGGGACTCGTCCCCTTGGCTTCCCTTCCACCGTCTCCCATTTCCGCAAACCAACTTTTGTATCCACGCTCCAAGCTTCGAACAGCACCTGGAGGGAACCATTACTGATACTCCCCAGTGTGCGCCATTTGGGATTTCTTTTCAGGTGTAAAAGGCTTGGTGACATTCCTGGTGAAGGTACCCTCTCTCCTCCCTGAGAATCCCCCCGCGGGCTCCTGCTGGCTGTCCCACAGGCACCTTGGAGCTCCCTTGCTAGGCCCCAGGATCCTGAGACCCTGCCTTGGTGGTGCCCCGAAACCCAGCCTCCTCCTGCTCATTTCCTGTCTGAATCCATTTTCTGTTGCTAGAACTGAATACCACAGACCGGGGAGTTTATAGAGAAGAGAGGTTCATTAAGCTCGCAGTTCTGCAGGTTGGGCCGTCCAAGAGCAGGGCGCCAGCATCTTCTCAGTGTCTGGCGAGGCCCCCTGCTGAAGGACACATGGCTCTGCCCTCCCGAGCCCATCAAATCCTACGTACTCCCAAGGCCTACCCCATATTATGAACATGACACTTGGGGGGTTAAGTTCCCAACATGTGAACTTTGTGGGGACACAGGCAACCTGTGGCACATCCCCGGGCTCTTTTCTACTTGTACCCCCAGGACCAAGAGCAGATTTGCTCAGCTGCCCCATCACTAGGGATAAGGGTAACCGGAGACCTAAAGGTGAATCACTTCATTTAGGAAATAAATGTTACTGGAAAATAGTCTCCAACCCTTTGAAAGGAGGCAAAAATATGAGTCTTGGACAGACGTCTGTTTTATATAAACCCTAGTTGTTCCAAGTTCACCAGAACAGTGCTAGCTAATGAGGCCTGGTAAGGATCTCCAGGGACCATCCCCAGAAGACCTTCCCGTGTCCCTCTGCCGCATGAGCTGACAGTAACTGAGCATTTCTGGGGCTCAGAGACCCGTAAGGACATGATTCATTTTTTTTTTTTTTAATCAACGAAGCAACTCAGCATTAAAGCAGATAGGTCACGTTTTCAAAGGCTCTGCACTAGTGCTGGGGGTATAGCTCAGGTGGTAGAGTGCTTGCCTCGCATGCACAAAGCCCTGGGTTCAATGTCCAGCACCCCCCCCCAAAAAAAAAAAGAACTCAAAGGAGCTACACTGTATATGGCAGAGTCAGAGCCACCTGACTCTCAGAGGCCTCTGCGGCCTCTTGACTCTTCAAAGTGACCTTGTGGGTCCTGTGTGGGGGTCTCTTTGGGATCTTCTACACCCTGAGACTTTCCGGCCCTCCCGTTGGTCATGGGGTGAAGAGGGATATGCATTCCACAGGAAGCCACTTTTCACAGTTCCTTGTTCTGCTCTCAGGTAGGCACCGGCGTTTGGTTTTGGTTTCAGATTTTGCTTCTTCTTCCTAAATGATTCAAATAAGCAGAAAGATACTTATTTCATCACTTTCCAGAAATGCTTAAAATGCTGTAAATGAGCAAAAATAGACTTTTTTTTTTCCTTCTGGGAACCTTATCTGCCGTTTTCATTTAAACCAATAATTTCTGCCCTCTGCATCTCCCCGACTGTCTCTTCCAGACAGGACCCAAGGACACATCCTCTAAGGAGTATTAGGATCTGCCTCACACACACAGAGGCCTCCCTGCAGGGCAAGTTGGGGGTCCCCAAGCCTGTTACAAATGACCCCATGCAGAGAAATAACATCTGCAAAAACATAATGCAAAGTAGACGTCTCTTTGTAAAATTCCAGAATCTTCCAGAGCTTTCCCAAAGGTCCTTTCTCCACTCCTTGTTAGGGGACTATTATCAAAGATGCCTCTTTTTATTATTATTATTATTATTATTATTATTATTATTTATTATTATAGTAAAATGTACATAATAAAATATTTACTATTTAAACCATTTTAAAATACATAATTCAGTGGCATCAACTAGAGTCACCTGTTGCACAATCAACAGCCCTGTCCGCATAGCTGTTTCATCTTCCCCAACTGAAACTCTACTCCTGTTAAACAATAACACTCCATCCCTCTTCCCTCTGCCCTGGTAACCACCATACTTTCTGTCTCTGTGACTTTGACTCTTCTAGGTTCCTCATGCTGTATGTATGCTTTGGTGACTGGCTTATTTCACTTATCATAATGTCTTCCGGGGCCATTCATGTTGTAGCATGTGTCAAAATGCCCCCCCGTTTTCAAGGCTTAGTAATATTCTATTATATGTATGGTATATTACAAACGCACAGACATATATGTATTTTTATCTATTACATGTCAATGGACATTGGTTGTCACTACCTTTTAACTAATGTGAATAATGTTGGCCTAAGTGTGAAAACACCTGTTCAAGTGTTTCACTTATTTTAAGTATATACTCAGAATTGGAACTGCTCAGTCACAGAGTTGTTCTATGTTTAATTTTTTGAGGACCCCTATGCCATTTTCCTCAGTGGCTGCACCACCTAGTTTATGTTCTCACCAACGGTGCACAGAGTTCCAGTTTTGCCACATCCTTACCAACAAGTGTTATTTTGTTTTATTTTTTTAATATAATAGCCATCAAAATGGGTGAGAAGTGGGTAGCTCCTTTTGGTTTGCTTTTGCCTATTGACAAGTGACATTCAACATCTTTTCACACACCTAGTGTCCCTTCTTTGGGGAAATGTCTCCTGAAGCCCTTTGTCCCTTGCTCTGATGGGGTTGTTGAGGTGGTACCGGCCTGCTGGTAGGGGTCGTGGTGGTGATGATGGGCATCCGTGAGTCTATTTATTCTGAGTCTCAATCCTTTATCAGATTTGGAGTACTCTCTCCCATGGGGGTGTGGGGGGGGGTTCCTTTTCCCTCTGCTGATAGTGTCCTTTGATGTACCAAGGTTTTGTTCAAGTCCCACTTACCTATTTTTTTCTTTGATGCTAATGCTTCTCAGAGTCATATCAATGCCTCTTTCTTCAAGAATCTGTTTTTCTCCTTTCCATGTGACACTAACAGGTACGCACAGGCCCAGGCTGTGTTCCCACATCCAGACTCACGCCCCACCAGCAGCAGCGCCTCGACCCCCGTCCTGCTGATGGGGCAGGCAGCGCTTGCTCACAGCTTCCCTGCCTCCCAGCCGGCTCCCCTGCAGGCCCAGCCGCAGCCACCACACTACCTACAGGTGGGCACTGGGTGGGGAGACCCACGTGGGTTTAGGGAGAGAAGCCAAGCTCCACATTCCACATCTGAAAAGCTTTTTCCTGCCTTGCTTTGAAGGCTGTTTGTCCCTGGTACAAAAGCAAGTCCCAGAAAGACCCACATTTGATTGCTTCTAATGCTAAAGCTTTAAAAATGTATGTGTGTGAAGTATGAAAAATTAAGGATCAGCTCTTATACCTCATACGGTTGTATGCACCTAAGGTCCATTTTTAAAAAATAATCTTGCATCTTGATATATCCATGTTTTCTAGAGCTAAAGTCAGGCATGAATGAGGCCGGGTTCGGTGGTGTATGCCTTTAATCCCAGTGGCTCAGGAGGCTGAGGCAGGAGGTTCGCGAGTTCAAAGCTAGCCTCAGCAAAAGCAAGGTGCTAAGCAACTCAGTGAGACCCTGTCTCTAAATAACATACAAAAAAGAAAGGGCTGGGGATGTGGCTCAGTGGTCGAGTGCCCCTGAGTTCAATCCCCAGTACAAAAAAAAAAAAAAGACATGAATATTTTTGTTGGATTTTTCAGTGCATTTATAAAGTTGTGTACAAATACAAAATTAAATCACATTTAGTTAAAGACCCATCAAAATGTCTTAACAAATACAATAACATTGTGTGAAATTGAGACTTTATAAAAAAATATAGAGAAGGCAAAAATTACTTCAAGTAATTACTGAACACACTGGAAGGAATGAGGGTGGACACAAATGGTCTGAGGGCTCAGTGGGAGCCTGCGAGGCTCCCCAAGGGCTCAGCCTCCTCCCTGACACGTGCCCAGGGAGGACACCCCTTCTAACCCAGCCCTCACCCTGCCCTGGGCGGCTCCCTCTCAGCAAGGACAGTCTACACTTCCTTGCTTGACATCTTCAAAGCCAGAGGACCCTTGTGCAGTGGCCAAACCAATTTGAGGACCACAAGATAAAGATGAAGAGGGTTGTCCCTAGAGGGCTGGAAGGTGATTTGACTGCACAGCTGCTGAACTGTCTGGGGGTAGAATTTTCATATCTCTCTGATCCTCCATAGACTGGGTGTCACTCCAAAATTGGCTTTGCAGATAGATCTCTTCAGTTCTTGGGACCCGGAAATGACCGTGGATAGGAAATAGGAAGTGACAAGGCAGGGGTGCGTGGGGAGTAGTTAAGGTCCCTCATATATTTTTTTTCAGCAGTAGCAGCAATGGTTTGCAGGCATCTGATGCATGAAGATACAGGGTAAAGACAAAAGAGCTCACTGCCCTTGGAAACCTGGAAGCCCTTAAGGCCCTGGAGTGCACTAGGGAGCTGCCTTAGCACAGTGTGGGGCAGGCTCTGGATGAGTGCCCAGTGGGAACACGGCGGAGGGGAGCCTTCCTGGAGCTAGGGACTTGAGGGGGAGCACTCTGAGGCATCTGCTACAGAACCTGACGCACCCAGGAAATAATAGTCAAAAGCGTGGATGAAGGCGAAGGTGTGAAAGAACTGTTTTGGCTGGACCACCCAGCACAAGCACCAGACCCATGTGCAGGGCTTAAAGGCCGGAGGCAGGCCGCTCTGGGCTACTTGGAGAAGTCCATTCATTGGGAGGCAGGAGTGGGAAATAAGATTGAAGCTTTCCAAGTCAGTTTGACCTGTTGAAGCTTCTGAAGTTCAATTCGTGATGTTTCCTATTAGATGCTGGTGAACGGTGGCTTGGGGGATAGTTAGGGGAGCAGGGACCAGCTGTGGAAAGCATGAGACCTAGTGTGCACGGATTCTGCCCTGTCGTCTATCTGCATGTGGCCCCAGGTAGCATCATCCAAAAACATCCAGGCCACGTGACCATCATGGGCACACGTGAAAGAAATCATTCTGGGTAGCCTCGCCCCAGGCCACTGGGTCATACGGAACCCCGGAACCCCGCATAGGCAGAGTTTGGCTCCGGAAAGGGTGCTTCGACTCCACTCTGGGAAGTCCCGCAGCTGATGGCATCTGTAGCCCCAGATCCCTTCCCACCACCTCATTCCCCGGGTAAGGAAGTGACAGCCGAGGGGCTGACCAACCACAGGACGGCTCTGAGCCCCTTTCCTTTCCTTTCCCGGTGCAGGCATCGACCTCTCTGCACGGTGAGCAGCCGGACTCGCTCCTCCTCTCCACCTACGCCCAGCAGCCCGGGACCCTGGGCTACACCCCGCCGCCCCCCGCGCAGCCGCAGCCCGCGCGCGCGCCCCGCAGGGTCAGCCGGCTGTCCGAGTCGTCGGGTCTCCAGCCGCCGCCCCGGTAGTGCCCTGGCCCTGGCGTCGGGACACAATCAGCTTTAACCAATGGACGAGGGGGCGGCCACGGGAGGTGGGGGAAGGGGTTTGCGCTAAACCCTTGGCTTTCGTGCACCCTGCGTACATTTCAGAATTCCTGGATGGTAACCATCCCCGCGGAGCGCAGCGACGGGGACAGTGGAGCGCAGATCAGGAATGCTGGCCCTGTCCCTCTGGCCGCCAGGGTTCCCGGGCGCCCTCCACAGCCATACGGGACGGGAACTGAACGCCCCGGGGAGGCCCGGAAACCCAGTTTACCCGCGGAGACGGCGCCCCTCGCGCATCCCCGCAGCGCGCACCGCCGCCCGGTGCGCCCGCGCCCTAGCTGGCCTTCACTCTCCCGATCATCTTTCCTTTGCATTGGAGAAGGACTGGGTCAGAGATCTGTTGGGGAGAGAGAGAGAGAGAAAGAGATTATTTTTCATTATTTTTAAAATGGTTGCTTTTGTTTTAATTTGCACAGCTGCACAGAGGAAATAACTTAGGCACTTTATGTTTTTAAAAATAATAAGGTCTCATGACTTCATTTGGAGCCCACATTAACAAAAACAGCCCACCAGTCAGCGAAGCTGGTTGTTATTAACCAAGCTGCAGATTCACACCCTCTGCCTAGATCCTAAGGAGGCTTCACCCAGTGCGCTCCTAGTGGTGATTGTCCCCACCCACCCACCTACCCACACATAACACTGGACTGTTTCCTGTTTACTTCCTTGATTGCAACTACAAAAGTGGACTCAAAGTCAAGCACAATTTTGCGGCTGATTTTCCAGAATTCTGTAGAGAACGCTAAGACTTAGGAGGGAAGAGGTTTCATAAGCCAAGCAGCCTGGGGGGCTGCATTCCCCGGGAACCCCCACCACGTGTTGGCCCTGAGTGCGAATGCTGCATCTTCCTACATATCTTTCATGATAATTCTGAGGATTGGATTTTTCCTTTTCAAAATGCACTTTGCTTTTTTTGTATGTTTTGTTATGTTGAGATGTTTCTAAAGAAAAGATTTTATGTAATTATGAGTGTAGTGAATTGTACAGCTGTTGTAATAATTACCTATTTCTATATAAAATAAAATTGTACGGATTATGTGTAAATTATTTTGTATCTGAGACGCCAGTTCCTTCCCCAAATATAAAAAGTATAAAAAGTTTTCCTGTGTTTTTCTGTGAGTGGAAACTTTTGTAATAAATTAACAAATTTGTACAATTTCCTCTGTCCCTTTTTCTACATCCACGCATATACATCTTTTCACCTGGAAGCTTTTTTATTTTTCAAGATGTTTCAAGATTCGGAAATGGTGTGTGCTAGCTTTCCATGGCTGTGACAAAATACCTGAAATAATCAACTTAAAAAGGTGAAAAGTTTCTCTTGGTTCATGGTTTCGGAGGTTTTAGTCCATGGTCTCTTGGTCCTGTTGTTTTGGGCCTGTGGCAGCATGGTACCTTTTCACAGAAGCCCAGGACAGAGGAGGAGGACCCCTGTTCAACTCATATGGAATGGGAAGCCGGTGGGGGGGGAGTGGGGAGTGGAGGAGGGGCCAGGGTCCTAATACCCCTTAAAGGGCACACCCTTAATGACCTAACTTCCTTCCAATAGGCTTCACCTAAAGGTCCCACCACTTGCTAATAGTGCCATGGTCAGGGATCAAGCCCACATGAGCGTTTGGGGGATATTCAAGGTCAAAAGTGATACAGTAAGTCAGGTGATGGTGTTAAGGTTCATGAGCTGCAATGTGCACTAGTCTATCAGCTTGATCGTTAAAGTTTGTGCCTCAAAAAAGGCTCATGGTAGAAATGAAAACAGAAAATATCCAAGGTCATAGGCACGGATAGACTGTGGGAGACAACCAAGATGTTCTCCACCACCGCATTCATTCATTGCCTGTAATTAAACTCACCCAGGCTGGAATTCTATGGATTCTCACTGCCAACACATAGTTACTAGCCATGTGAGCAGGGTGAGTAAGTCTGTGTGTAAGATGTGGGCACACACATGCCACTGGCGTATCTCCAAGGGTCCTGCCAGCTATGGACATCTGCCCCTTCAAGGGGCTCATCACAATAACATGGAGTGCTCTGGTGCCCTGTGTTTGAGAACCATTAAGGTATCATGTCCTTTTCTGAAAGCACCCGCTGGGGAGAGTGAAGTTTGTTTCATAGTTGCATTACTCTCTGTTTCTACCCTCTCTGTAAAGTGGAGAAAGTTCCTCTCAGTTCTATGACTAGGATCAGTTGTGGATGGCACCAGTCCCATAATTGCACTATTCCCGAGAAAAAGAGAACTCAAAATACTCTGCATGCACTAGGAGCATTTACTCTTTGACAGAACCAGAAATGAACACTGTTTTTAAAACAAAAGGTCTGTGCGAAACTGGATTATTTTTTTAATTTAATGTTTGATAAATTCAAAGAGTTAGAGATCTGATTTTTTTTTCTGTAAAAAAAAAGTGTATTTTAATTGTATTCGCATTTTAATTGGCTGTCAGCATCCTTACTGCTACATGGAACAAGATTCTTAATGAGCACAGGGTATTCATTGCCCTAGAATTTTCTAGCTGCCAGCCATTAAAAGAGGGTGGAGTATGCCACACTAACTGAATTTAGCTCTGCCTAAATGTTACACACGTTTAGAATTTGGATAAACTCGGAAAACTCATTGTGTAATCTTTTTTTGAACCCACACACATCATGGGAAGTTTAATCCCTAATCTTTTGATTCATTAAGTTTTGCTCATTAAAAGGCTGTTTTGCAACCCTGCCCTATTTCCAGAAAAACCGTGACCTTTCTATTTGGAAAACAGTACAGTCTTGGCTGAAGAGACCCAACTGAAGTATGAACTCTGGAGTACACCAAGTTTAAGATATTTTAAACTAACTCAATTAAAATGCAGCATCTTCTGTCTCTTGTGACAACTAAAGTTCATTAAATCAATTTAAAAAGTTTGTGTATACATGCAACATGGTGAATTGGCCAACTATTAGAGTGTTCTAAGTCATGACATTATGCACACTTGCTTAATGTTTGTTCTGGGAAAATTTGAGTGTTTGGTACAAAATCACTTTGGATTTTCTCATCGTGTTGTATAAGTGCAGCCTGAAGTTCTCAAAGTCAGCCATTAATATCCGAGAGAAATAAATAATTTGAATCCTCCAAAGAAATGCCGTTTGTGGCTTTATGGACACAATTTCTCATGAACTTTTTACTATACAAGAATTCTGTTTGGGGGAAAATGCTCACTGGAAACAAGAGGATTTTTTCTCATCAGATTTTTGCCTAACCACTCTTAGGCACTGCTATTACACTGACTCCTTTTAAAATTACAATTACCCTTTTATTAGTTTATGTTTTACTTTAAGCACAAAGTCATGAACACATGACCTTTTATAAACTCAGTTTTTCTAAGCAATCATTGTTATTATTTTATGCTTGAATCAGCACAACCCAACAAGTGGGAGCGTTCTCCTTTATTTGATTCCATTATCTTTTTAGCATTGCCCGTTGGAAACCAGATTTCTTTCTAGAACATCAGGATCATGGTCTGTCTTGATTTCTTTTTCTGCGCTAAAGCATGGAATCAACTGCTCTCTAAGAAGTCTTGTTTCCTTTTGGTTAAAAAGAGAGATTAAACTCTGGGTGCCTGGAGAACAGGCACTGGTGGGTAGCAGGCAGATAAGGGTGCTACATGGGTCCTGTTGAGTCATTCTGTTGTGATAAAGCTAAAAGCACATTCAGCCATGTGCTGCATGATGGTCAGTCTCTGATGGTCCACACAGGTGACTGTATACACCACGCTGCCCAGGGCTGAGGCAGGTAAACCATCTAGCTTTGTGTACATCCATTCTGCAGTGTGCACACAAGGATGAACTGTCTAGCAATGCTCAGAAGACAAATCTCTCAGAACAAATTTTGTTATTGACTCAAGACTGTATTTTTTTTCAAAGTCATGAAATCACCTTGATCTCTCCCACGTAATAGATCATATATTGTATGATGGTTTCTAATGTGGTTTTGTTAGCCACGAGGCCTTCCTTCTACATGCCATCCCATGATCTGTTGATTTTTATTTCAAATATTCTTTGTACCATCCGTTTCCTCTGCCTCACTATTAGCTGCCTTACCCAGGCCCCATTTCAGCTGGGTCACAGCAACAACCTCCTCACCAACCTCCCAGGCCCCAGTCCACCCACACAGTACGACTTGAGCATGTTCTTCATTACCAGGCCTCTTTCCTCTTAAAAATATTTTGAGCTGCTCCTCTTGGAAAGTTCCACTGGAAATTCCTGGAGCTCAGCCCTCCCAGAGTGACATTGTCTAGGACCCTCTCCTCCCTTAGGGTTTGTCATCCTCTGAGAGGACTGGAATGTAGCCTGTCTACTTCTTTCTGGCTGCCCTAATTGGGAAGCATTCAGAAGTTGTTTCATTTTAAGGATCTACTGAAAATCACTAGAAGTAAAAAAAAAAAAAAAAGGCATGGGTGATTAGTACATCTAACAAACACAGGAACTCATAAGTAATTGGATCTCTAGACCTGGCAGTCAGTGGTTGGTCAGAGGCTAGGAGGAAAAGATGCCTTGGAAGGGCTGAACTGAAACACAGAGAACCCCAGGAAGGCTTATGGTTTCTACTCCTCAAAGCAAACAGTCTTTATTACAGGTCTATTCAACCTTGAAGGAAGCAAAATTGACATAAAGAGGGCTGTTCTGTAGATTTCCACCAGAGGAGTCTATTTGCTTCAACAATAAGGATCTATTCACATTTCATCAGTTACATGGAAATGAGGCAGCTGGCAGATTTATTAAACATTCCTTTGCCCCAGAGGGCTAGCCTTTAATTCCCCTCTAGGCGCTGGGAGCCAGATGAAAGGGCAGGATCCCATCTTCACGGAGCACTGCAGCGGATCAGGATCAGAATAGTGATCCCAAATGAGTCACCTGTGAAAGGCCAGTGGCAGCTTTCAGATGCCTGAACACGAGGA